GGGGGAGGCAAGCACTGCCAGAGGTGCCCTGTTTGAGGGAAATCACCGCCTGCCTGGGAATCTGAGGGTAAAGGGAGACAGGCTTCATCCTGCGAGCCATGCCTGAGGGGAGAGACACTGGCTACCTGGAGTCTGAGGAGGGTTCACTGTCTGCCAGGGGAGACCCAGACCTCTCTTGGGAACCCCATTTGAGCAGCAGTGGAATGTCCATGCTCTGTGATCCCTGTCTCGGGGTAGGGGGAGGAAATATGGCCCCATCCTGGAATTTGAGGAGGAAGAGGAGACATGGCTTCATCCTGGAGTCATGCCTGAGGGTGAGGACACAGCCTGCTCAGGGAGTCCTATCTGAGGTGGGAGACCGACCTCACTCTGGGAGCTCCCTAGACAGGGGAGACTCAGTCCTGCCTGGGGAGCCCACAGAGCATCCCCTCACCTGGGCGTGGAAGCGGTCAAAGGTCATGATAGGACCGAAGAAGAAGAATGGCAGGTAAAAATTGTACTTGAGCAGGTCGGCTAGGGAATAGCGGCGGTCAGGGTGGGCACACCTCTCCAGTGCAAAGCTGGTGCAGCGCAGCACCGTGAAGCCGCTGCCCCCATGAAACAGCACCTCTTGAAGATCAAAACTGCCTGTTACAAACCCGCTCTGGATGGGAGAGAACAGGTCACCAGCTCACCAGGGTGCCCCTGTCTCCAGGAAGCCCACTCAGCTTCCCACAGGGGCCCAACCTGGCCCTGCCCCTTCCTCGCTTCCAGAATTGGTCAACACTGGACACTGAGGGTCAGTTTCATGGCTGCAATAGAGCAAGGAATGAGCCAGACACCTCCCTGCTGGGGTGAAGGTGAACACCTTGTAGGCCAGGGGTACTCTGTAGTCAAGGGCTTGGAGATGAGTGGAAAAGCAAGGGAAATGCTTGGGGATACTTGGAAGGCAAGGGCTTTGGATGAGGTGAGAGGCTTGGGGTCCTATCCTCACACCCCTCACCCTGTCTTGCCTCAGTGCACACCTGCCAGGAGGTGAGAGGGTCCAGCTTGAAGGAGGCAAGGCTGGCCAGGCCAAGGCCCAGACAGAGCCAGGGCTGGCCCAAGAGTGAAACCACATAGAGGCCCACACAGTGGCCAAGCAACAGCAGCAGGTACTTGGGGCCCATCGTACCCACCACGGCCAGGACCCCATACACAGCATACATCCAGGAGCGGAGCTGTGGACAGAGAGACAGTTCAGTCAGTGCTAGGATCGAGCACGGATTTTTCCCCAACCCTTGTGTCTACAGAGGAGCTGGGGGTGGGGGCAGCTGGGGTGGCCCAGGCCTGGCTCACCTGGGGGGCTACCATCGTGCAAAGTTTAGCAAACAGCACATGTCCAGAGAGGGCAAAGATGATGACGTTGCGGAAGGAAGTGAACCACATCACCCACTCGAAGTCAGCCACGTCCTGAGGTAGGCCCGCAGAGGAGGAGGTGGGCAGGTTAAGGTGGGGAAAGGGGCAGGATGGGCAGGCACCTGGGCTGGTCAGGGCCCCGGCACCTTCCCAGCCCCCGTGTTCTTATGCATTAGGAGGGAACAGTGGCTGGAGGTCCATCCATTCTCCTGTGAGGGAAGGGCCCAGGCATAGAGGTAGAGAGGAATGAGGGGCACTGTGTGGGCTACCATGCCCTTCAAAGCTCCTCCTGTACTCAGCACACTGCCTGACATTCCACCACTATTGCTTTGCTCCTGGGAAGGGTGGAGATGGAGGCCCCTGCTGAAGCACATCTCACTTATAGGCACCCATCTCCTAAATGAGAAGGGCCTGAGGGATGGGATAGGGAGGAAGAGTCCAAGCTTGAGGTTGCCCCAAGATGGACGCAGGAGGGGACAGTGGAGATGCTGAAGGTGTTAAAGCTCAAACCAGAGGCTCTCCCCACTGTGAGCCTCAGTTTTGCCCTCTGTTACTTGGGAACATCAGAAATAGGGAAGAGTGGAGGAAAGGTTTGGGATGGAGATGATGTGCCAGGGGTCAGGGACCCTGAGGCAGGCTTCAGGTCTGGGGGACCTACCATCTTCCGGCCAATGTACTCCCAGCCTGGCCGCACAGACTCCCGGAAGGACTTCCTGTGGGCCCCATCTGAGAACAGAGTGTGGCCTCAGGGGAAGGGGCTCCTTCACACATCCCCATGCCTGCTCCCTATGACTAGCCCCCACCCTGAGGGGAGGATATCAGGTCTGTCCCTGTCCCTGTCTCCCTGTCTCTGCTTCTCTCTGGATCTCTGTGTGTCTGAGTCCAGGTCTCTAACTGCATCCTTGACTGAGCATCTCTCTGTATCTGTCTCTGTCGGTGTCTGTCCATCATGTCCCTGTGACTGCACCTGGCTCAGCCCAACCCCCAGGGCCTGGGGAGCACTCTGGGTCTAGAGTCTGTGTGTTTCTAGCCTTGCTTGATGGAACCCTGAGGCCCCTAGGGGAAGAAGGGACCCACCCCCGCCCCAAGGCCCAGAAGTTACCTTTTGAAGCCTCAAGGAGGTCTCGGCCTGCATAAGCAAGGGCCCCACTCAGCACCAGGGAGTAGAGGCCCAGCTCAGCCGCAGGCAATGCGGTCTTGATGCCCATAGCCTGGATGGGGCTGGGGGAGACAGGTTGGGTGAGGACACTGCAGCTGCCAGCCCTGCCTAGCCCCACCTCATGGTCCCCAGTTGAGGTGGTGGCGGCCCCACTCTGAGGAAAGACTGCCCCTCCTGCCCCTTGGGTATTTTGTGCAGTGTTCTCCCCTCCCATGTCCTGTGTCCCCCAACACCCAGTGCCCCATCCTAGATGCCCCTTTAGCTCCCACCTCTCCCCTTAGAAGCCTAGTCTCCACTCTCTGCCTGCCTTCCTCACTGCATCTACTCCTTCATATCTTTTGGGTGGGCTGGTCCCCACCCTCTGCCCAAACCACTCCTGCCAAGGCCCCTGTGACCTTCATGTGGAGAAACCCTAACTGCATCACCTCAATAACCGGCCCCCAGGGTCCCCATCCTCTTCAGTGGCCCTCCCCTAAGTCCCCTCCTCTGACCCCCTCCCACTCCCTGAGCTGCCTTTCCTTCCCTGAGACCCTGTGACTTCCCCAGGTCCTGCCCCCAGCCTCCAGCCTCTCACTGACCCCATTCCCCCAACAAGCCCCTGAGCCCCTGCGCTGCCATGTCCCTGGTCCCTGCCTATTTTCATGGCTGCACGGGCCCACTCTCTCAGTGTCTGTGCATTCAGGTCGTGGACGCTGGTCGGAGGCCATGCTGTTTGAGGAGGCGCCCTAGTGTAGCAGGTGTGGGGCCAGGAACGGCCAGGCGGGCACCAGGGAGGGCACTGGCCGCTGTCCAAGGTGCTGATCAGTATCAGGCCCAGGGTGAGCCTAGCTCCCTCCTGCCAGGGCCTAGCTTGTCCCCAAGAATACTGCCTGGCCAGGCCATCCCTGGGGCTTCAGCTAGCACCTATGCCCTTCCCGCCCTGCTCTGACCTGGCCTGGGGCTTTCCCAAGGGCCCTGTGGGTACAGACTGTCAGGGGTCAGGGCCTGAATTAAAGGGAGGAACATCTAGGTCCCCCTGGGTCAAGAGGTGGCTGGTATGGCGATGCTCCCACCCCAGAGCTTCCCCCAGATCTCCTTCACCTACCATGTAGCTAGCTTTCCTAGGTCCCCCCAGTCAGCATTCTCCCCATTATACAGATGGAGGGTCATGGACCAGAAAGGGGCGAGGACCTGTCAAGGTCACACACTGTGACTGAGGCAGGCTTCTGTCTGTCTTTCCTTGGGACCAGGTGTTTGCAGCAAGCCCTCTGCAGTCTCAGATAAGGGAAAACCCTCCATGCCAGGGGTGGGGGGTACTGGCCGGACCTGACTCCTGCTGAGAAGGCTGAGGCACCTTCTCATGGGCTGAGTTGGGGTAGAGAGGCCCCAGGGATCAGGTTAATGGAGCAGGAGCTTGAAACCGGAGCGCGGTGAAGAGCCTGAGAAATAGCTTTGTCAGCTGCCTCCCACTCACCACTTTCCAATTTTAGCTCCCCATGGCCGGTGCGGGGTGTCCCCAGCATGGCCTTTGTGGGCAGGGCCAGAGCTGGACCCCGGCCTGGGGCCTCTTCCCATAGAACCCCCCCACCTGGGCCTGGGCTGGCCTGTGGACACAGGAGTGCCCCTGCCCCTGGTCCTGCTGCCTCAGGTGCTCAGGTGCACCTGGGGTAAAGCCCACTTTGGGGCCTGTGATCTGGGTGAGGGGCCTGAGGTGGGCCCCACCGGTCTCGGGGCCCCGAAGTAGCTGCATCTCCAGCTGGCACTGACCTTGAGGAGGCTGTGAGGGACCCTGGCACACTGCCCACCTCGGGGCTCTGAGGTCCTGTGTCCGACTGTGCGTCCGTCCGACCAGCTGGGCTCTGAGGCCACGGTGGGGTGTGTCCATCCCTGGGGTCCCCACCCCTTCGAAGCTATGAGTGGTGAGTGGTGACAGCGGGAGGAGGAGGGGGAGGAGGAGGGAGAAGGGGGGAGGTGGCCTTCCCGGAGTGGAGCTGAGTGTTGTGGAGCAGAGCCCAGTGCTGCAGAGCTGCTGGCCGCAGGGAGCCGCAGGGAGGACTGTGGTGGCGAGGGGTGGCCAGTGGCATAGGATCAGACAGGGACACCTGGGCCTCACCTCAATTGCCTCCCCTGCCCCTCAGAGAGCTTGTGCCTCCCCCTCACTGCTGGCTGGGACTCCCCTCCTCCAGTAAGCCTTCCCGGTGGCCCTACTGGCCTCATCAGGCCTATGAGCCCTGTCCCCACCATACTTGCACGCATGCTCCCATGTTGACATGTGAGTTCCCAAGGGCTGCTCAGGGCAGATCGTCTAGCCCCTGCCATGGTCCTTCTCATTATGCGAGGTCTGGCTGGCCAGACATTAGTGCCTGGAGGACTGGCTTGCCTAGTGGGACTGGAACTGGCATGAGGCATGTGGCTGAGAGGGGTCCTCATATCCCAGCCTTGTCTCATAGGAGTCACTCAGGTCAAGGACCACTAGCAGGGTCACTTGGCACAGTTTGAGTTGGCACTTGGAGTGGCCGGCATCCTTTGATGGCAGGATGGAAGCAGAGAGGAATGTCCCCAAACAACTGGGACTCCTGCGAGGGGAGGGTCAGGGCCAATACTCTGGGAAGGGGCAAAGAAGGCCTCAGCCCTGGCTACTTAAGGGGGAGGGGTATCCTGAAGACCCCACCTAAGAGGGCAGGAGCCTCTGATTGTCCCTTTTGGGGTGAGGACCTCAGAGTTGGGGCATGGTGTGTTTGTGCCATGCCTGTAGAGACCTACCTGTTCATGCATGCACCTGGGGGTAGAAGGAACTGTGCGACCGTGATCAGTGACAGGTCCTGGAGGCCCTGTTAACCCTGACCATAGCCATAGGCTTAGCTGAGGATGGGAGAGGAAAGGGCTGCTCCCCACCCAGCAGGGGCCCTTCCACTGCCTAAGAGAGGGATGAGCAGGAGAGAGGATCCCCTTGCCCATACCACCACAATGCACTTAGGCAATGGGAGTCCTCCCAAGCATGCAGACACCTCTGGCCCAGAGAAAGAAGCAAGAAGACAGACACCGCACACTGACCCAGAGGCATAAGTCCACACATGCGCACAGCAGGACAAGCAGCAACCATAAACCCAGGGACCTGCAATCCACGCACACCCCGTCCTGTGAGCCTGTGCGATCTCTGGGCTGCAGCTTTCTGCCTGCTGTCCACTGCTGTGTCCCCAGAGCAGAACTGGGCATGTAGCAGGTGCCCAGAAAATTTGTGGAATCAGTGACTGCTTGGAGCGGGCCCCAGCACACCCACTTCTCAGAGGCTGGTTTTGAATCCAGAGACACTACATCTGGCTGCGGTGTCAGCCCAGAGCTCACCTGTGAGGGTCGCTGGTCCCGACAAGCCGTGAATGATGATCACGGCAGAGTGGGGGCTGGGGTGGGGCTGCAGTCGGGGGTCGAGGGCACTAGAGGAGGCCAGTATCAGGGAAGAGGGCCTGAGCCAGACTGCAGGGGTTAAAGAGGACTTCCTGGACAGGGGGACACCTGAGCAGTCCTGAAGGCAGTCAGTGGTTGTCAGAATAAACTAGTAATAGTAGCCAGGCCCGGTTCTAAGGCTGTACATGGATTCTTTTTCATGTCACCACAACCCATGGGGTAGCTGTTATTATCCCCAGCTGGTAGAAGAGGAACCTGATGCCCAAGGAGGTTAAGCAGTTGGGTCAACCCTCTAAGCTTTCTGGAACCGATTGTGCTGCAGGGTGAGGACCCGGCTCATCCACACCGCGCTGCCCGAGACCAGCCTGGGCCAGCCTGCCATCCAGCTGGTGCATGGTCAGGAGGGAAGCATACGGGTGGTGTGGCCCTGGGGTTAAGAGCGCAGATTCAGCCCACTGCCTTGAGCCTCATCTCTGCCCTGTTGGTGTGATTTGGGCCATTCTCTTCACTTCTCTGGGCATCAGACCCTCATTTGTGAAACGTACATACTGCTGGCCCTGATCTCACTGGGTTCTGGGGAAGGTGGGGTTTCAACAACTTACTACCTGGCTCCATGAACTGCTGCTCATAAAGAGGCTGTGAGGGAGCCACAGGGCCCCACCATCCAGAGGCCCAGAGAGGCGGGGACTCACACACACCTGGGTGACCCCCACACAGTGGGACTGGCAGGGAGCTTGGCATGTGGGGATGGTTGGAGATGTGAAGGACAGGGGAAGTCCCTTGGACCTGGGCCTGGACAGTCAGCTCCACCCTGTGTGAGGGGTGGTGGGAGGGAAGGGGGCGTGGTGTAGCCAGCCCCAAAACAGGGGGGCAGGAAGGAAGCTGTGACTGGGCTGAGACCAGCACAAGGACTTAGGGTCAACTTCCCACAAGCCACAAGGGCCACTGGAAACGTGGCGGGGAGGGGGCCGATTCTCTCCAGCCTCGGGGACACCAAGTCCTTGTTCACCTCCATGTTTTTTTGTTGCTCAAAGTAAAAAGGCAGGAAAAGTACCCTCTGTGTATCATTTGTGTGTGTATTTGTTTTGCATTGTACGTTGTTTGTGGCATGTGTATATTCATGTGTTGTGTATGTATGTGTGTGCTCTGTGGTGTCTGGGTGTGTGGTGTATATTTACTGCAGGTTTGTGTACGTTATGTGTGTACGTGGGGTACACGGACTTAGGACTGCGTGGAGGCAGCACCTCCGGAGTGGAGTAGGCAGGCACAGACTTCCTGGCCATGAGCTCTCTCGGCGAGGAGAGGGGGAGGAGCTCTGCCCACTGAATGTGGGGGACCCAGAGTAGCACCCCAGCTGCTCCTGGAGACAAGGGAGGGGTCCAGTGGCAACAGAATGTGTTTGGGGCTCGGCCTGAGTCAGCTTGCCCAGCTCAGCTACAGTGTCCCAGAGGCCCCATGGGGAGCCATGCCAATGGCTCAGCTGGATCTCACCTGTCAGTGCTGGAACCTGAGCACCTAGGCCCGCAGCACCGGCCTGGGGTGCAGCCATGAACAGTCCTCAACTGAAGCCTCTTTGCCACCTGGCCTGTCTCCTTGCCCTTGCCCCTTGGCCCTCCAGGGCACCTGTTCCCCCTCCACACACACCTTGTAGCTCTGGGAAGGGACCTCGGTGTTCTTCTCTGTAAAAGACAAGCCCAGCCTGCCTGCTGCCCACCCGCCTGAGGAATGGGGAGGTCACCTCAGGGCCCAGGGGCAGGTGCTACTGCCCAGGAGGGGCCATGGGCACTAACTTGGACAGACCGGGCTGCCCTCCTCCCCACTCGGCCCACTGGGGTTAGATCCCTCAGGACCTCACTCCTTGGCCCAGCTGACAACCCTTCTATCCCTTAAAAATCCTTCTCCCTGGCTCTCCTGGGCCTTCCCCTTCCCCCACCCTCTACCTCAGGGAGATGTGACGGGCAGATGGCTTCCTGACAGCCCCTTCCCCACCCAGATCTGGGCAATGAGTCTGGGAGCCGCAGGGAGGAAGGTGGGAGACTCTGGTGCCACAGAGGTCACTGCGCCCTTCCACCCTCCCCTCCTGTCCCTTCATGGCCCTGTTTCCCCTGCCTCAGACTGGACCAGGAGGTCCCTGAAAAAAGGAAGCAAGCAGATTCGCCTCTGACACCTGCACGGCCCGGAGAGGCTGGTGACCGATGGCTAAGTGGATGGTGACCTGCGATGGCTCTGTCTCCCAGCTGGCCTGGGAGTTCCTGGAGATCAGGGGCCGTGTCTGACTCACCTGGCACCCCTGTGCCTCAGGCAGGGGAGCTGCTCAGCAAGAATTCACTGAATTAAGAGAGGAAATACCAAGAGCCATCATTTACTGAGTGCTGCATGCCAGGCACTGCTCTAAGCATCTGGCACCTCTAACTCATTGAATCCTGAAGACAGCTTGGATGAGGGAATGGAGCAGACCTGGTCTAAGCTGGGGCTGCCGATGGCAGGTGCCAGCGGATGTGGCAAGGGGCCTTCTGAAGCTCCACGGCTGGGCTCTCAAGGTTACCCACAGAATTCATAAACGGAAACAGTCGTCTATACCCGCAGTTGGCCTAAGCAAGGACCATGCCCACACTGACTTGTGCAAGACCCCAGCTAATCAGTTTACCCACAAACGGGCAAACAAGATTTACTCTGCCCACTGTCTGCAGTGTCTCCCTTCTTTCTCTTATATAAGTCCCATTTTTATCTTTGTGGGGTGAAATCAATCTATTCATGTATGTTTACTTCCGCACAAGGGACATACATGAATAGATTGATGAGCTAAGTGTCTCTGAGCTATTCTTTGACCCTAGAACAGCCCCATTTTACAGTTGAGGACATGGAGGCACAGGAAGGTTAAAAAAAACTTGCCAAGGTCACGCAGCTTGTGAGTAGGGAAAGCGATCTGCCCAGGTCCCTGTCCACACCCCGCGACCAGGGGCTGTCTTCTTTCAGCTGGGCTTCCCCCAGGGGAGGCGGTGCTTCCACGGTATGTGTGTGCATACTTGTGCATGCCAAGTGTGTGTTCCTGGGTACACCCACATTTGTGTGTGCCACTGCACAAGTCACTGTGTCTTCACGTGTGGGAATGTGTCTGCATCCACATATGAGCACGCTCACTTGTGTGTGGGCGTGTCTGCAGGTGTGTGCGCACGCTTCTGTGGGTGGTGCTGTGCGTGCCAGTCAGCCAGGTGTCTGTGGGCACGTGCGCACATATGCACAGTTGTGTGCTCCTGAATCTAGTGTGTGTGTGCATTTCATCTCTGTGTGGGCCTATGTGTGGACACATGTGGCTATGATGTTTGGGGTCAGGTGTGTGGCTACGGTGACCCTCCTTGGAGCCACCCCCTCCTCATGGCTGTAACCAAAGTCAATTGGAGGTGATACTGTGACAGTCACAGAGGGGACTGGGGGCTCCTGAGCCCCCTGCAGCAGCCCTCCCAGCTTGCCCCTGTGCCAGAGTGAGGGAGATACATAAACTCTCCACCCTGCCTGCCCAAAGCTCCTGCGCAGTCCCACCTGTGCCCTCCCCACCAGCACCCACCAGCTGCAGCCTTCTGCAGGCAGAAGGTGGTGTCCTTGGGGCAGCCGGCTGGGGCAGAGCCATCCAGCTGTGGGTGCGCTCTCCTGCCCTTGGCAAGCTGCTTCACCGGAGGACTCTGGTTGTGGAGTCAGGCAGGCCAGGGTTAAATATTAGATATGCTTCTTTCTGTGAGCCTCAGTTTCTTCATTTGTAAAATAGGGCGACAATCCCCTGGGTCACTGGGAGGATGAGATGGGGTCAGGTTTCCACAGTAGATGCTCATTCACTGAGAGCTGCAGTGACTATGAAAAATCAATATTATTATTACAAGTCCAAGGGTCTGCTGCTGAGGGAGAGGCTGACGTGGCCAAGGGCATGGGGACCTGGTGCCCCAGGTCTGCAGAGGGTGGCCACAGAAGGAGCCTCGCGGGGGTATGAGGGATGGTGTGGGGGCAGGATGGGCTGGGTGGCCTGGGGGATGCACCCAGCCCAGAGCACCAAGGTCTCTCCTGTGCAGGAGCCAGGTGGGGGTGCAGGGGCCCCCAGCTAGGACAAAGGCGGTGAGCACATGCCGGAGGGACTGCCTCTGTCCTTTCACAGCTGGCTGACTGTCCCAGAGCTCTTGCTGATGCCAAGCTGGCTTCTGGCCTCTCCGTAGCCAAGCCTGCCCCGGGCCTCCTCTCCAGGCTCCACCAGGGCTTCTCCTCTGCCCTCCTGGCCTGTGCTCTCAGCTTCAGTTATCCTTGGGGAGCCTCTTCTGGGAGGAGGGGTCGAGCTGGCCTCCCAGGGCTGGCTTCCTGGAGTGGCTAGAGTCCTCACACAGAGCCTTGTCTTCTCAAGGCCTGAGGCTGCCCTGTCTGGCCAGGCTGACACTAGGGCCACCCTCCTAGTGCTTGTCTGCCTTCTGCTGCCGCAGGGCCTGCAGAAAGACCCCCTTCACCTGGTCCAGGGTCTCGTGGTACACACGGAAGTCCTCCTCCTTCCCCCGCAGGGCACTGCCCAGGGCAGCCTTCAGCATGTCGTTCTCCTCTACCTGGATGGCCAGCCTGGACCACATGGAGACAGGGCTCAGCATGGCGCGAGCTGTGTGTGGACAGGGGCCCCTGGGAATGGGGCTTCCAGCCCGGCTGCTCCTTAGGCTCAGGATGTCTCACTGACCCATCCCGCCACAGGCCCTTGGGGGGATAACCATGAAAGATTCCTCTCTGGGGCTCGTCTGCAGCCCTGAGCCTGGCACCCAGTAGCCCCCATCAAATGTCAGCTGCCTAAGGAGAGTATTCATTGGCAGGGGTTTCTTCTTCCTTTCCCATCACTGCATTTGATCTTAAATGGCTTAACTGAGGAAAGTGAGTTCAGCAACTCATGCCTAATAAACCTTTTGGCACCAGGGGGTCATCAGGGTCCTGCTGGGCCCCTCTGCCCTCTGATGGCCAGTCCCTGAATTGCAGGTCTAGAGCCCTGGACCTGCCTTCTGGGCAAACAGAAGTTTGCCCATCTACCCATCAACCCACCTCCACCCAAACAACTTCAATGTTTCAGGGAAATGGGGCGGGGGAGCACCTGGTAGCCAGCTCCTCCATCTGGGATTCCACAGGCACGACAGAGAGCTCGGCGAAGTCCGGCTCCTTCCTGTTGCTCGCGTTCTGGTTGTGCTTGGTGTTAGAGGCAGGCGGACCTGAGGGGGTAGCAGCCACTTACTGTGATGAGGCCACGCCCTGGACCGACCCCCTCCCTCTCCTTGCCCCATGCCCACCCCCACTTCCTGCTTTTGCTCTGGGTGTTCCCACTGCCTGATTTCCCTTCCGGCTTCTCCTCTTGCTGAGCATTCACTCCCTTCAAGGTGCACGCCGAGGGCTGCCCCCTCCACAAGTCCTTCCTGATGCCCGCTCTGCTTTCCCCTGACCCTGGCTGTGGCCTCTGCGACAGCCCTGGCGTGGCCTGTTTTGTACCAAGGTGCTGTCTCACCTCACTGTCTCCATCTTTATGCCTTACGAGTTTCTGGTAATTCGTTTCCCAAGAGAAAAGCCAGCAGGTCTGAGATCTGGCCGGGCGGTAAGCCCGAGTCTAGGCCATCACTGCATCTGATGCCCTCACACCACTGGGTCCCCTCCTCCACTGCCACCCCCATCTGGGCCAGCAGCTCCACACTAGGAAGCAGGGGGATCTAGGGCAGCCAGGGACCACAGGGGGAAGGGACCTGAAGTCATTAGGCTGATATTCAGAAAAAGAAGACAAAGCCCAACTCGTGGGGAACTCCGGCAAAATCACAGCATCAGAAAACCTCTGTGCTGAAAAGGGCCTCAGAGGTGGTGTGGCCCAAGGGAGCTCGCCTAGCATCAGACTCGGCTTTCATCCCCTGCTGTGTGGCCTCAGAGGACCCAGCAACTCCCCTGAGCCCGTTTTCTAACCTATAAAATGAGGATAATAGTTCTTGCCTCTAGACCGTTGTGAGGCCTGAGTGCATTCACACTTGGACCTCGGGGCTCTGAGTAATCGGACCTCCCCTTCAGCGCCCCATGACTTCTCTGACCTCCTCTCATTCCCCCTCCCTTCGCCCCGCTCCAGCCTGGCTGCCTCACTGCTGTTCCTCCAAGCCTCCAGTCAAGCTCCCACGGCAGCACCTTTGCACGCACCCTTCCCTCAGGCTGGGGTGCTCTCCCCCCAGCTATCGGCATGGCACATCCCTGCCCCCCATCTCTGCTCAGTTGTCAACTCCTAAGTGAGCTCTTCACTGGCCACTCCATAAAAAACAGCTGCTTCCTCTGCAGCCTCTGCCCCTCGCTTCTGCTTCAAGTCACCACGTGACCTGTCATGTCTTTACTGGTTTACTTGTTTATTTTCTATCCCCCGCCACTGGAATGCAATGAAATGGAATTCCAGATTCTGATCTCCTTATTTTACAGACTAGAGGTTGCTGTACTCCCCAAAGGGGCAGTGCTCTGTCCATATCACAGGCCAGCAGGTGGAGGGATCACATGGACCCTTTCAGGCAGCTGCCCCCTACTGTCCAGCCAAGACCAAAGTGGCATTCTTGCTGGAGCCCTCAGAAAACTGTGTGGTTAGCCCTCCCTCATTGGAAGCCTGACAGGAGGTGGGCCCAAAGCTTGGAGACACCATACTTCTGGTGGGTCAGGACGGTTGAGCCCCAGAGACCTTCCCCAGCCTGGACTCTCAGCAGTTGCTGGAAGTCCCTGTCAAGTCCTGGCCCTGCTGGTGGGAGAAGGGTGAGCAAGAGGCCCCTCATGACCCACGTCTGGCACATCCTTCTGAAACCTCCTGACCTTGTCTGGGCTGAGCACTGGGAATAACAGTCCAAGTGTCCTTGGCTGGGCGAGGGAGTGGGGGACTACTGCGGATGCTGGGAGACACTGCAGCAGGGGCAGCAGCACCTCTACCCTAGAGTCTGGAGGGTGGTGGGGTGGGGAGATGAGAGGGAGACAGGCCTAGCCCCACCAACCTGGAAGTTCTTCCCTGGGGGTTAGCTACCCCAGATATGGCTTCTGGCTCTGGGATCCCACAACCCCAGCTTATCCCATCCCGACATGATGCTGATGCTGCTGGTCTGGAGACTGCATCTTAAGAACTGCTGTGTTACAGCAATAGACCTTTTGGATTAAGACAACATTTCCCAGCTTCCCTCTGCAGGACGAGGATCTGGCCAATGGGATGAAAGCAGAAGTGACACCTGCAACTTTAGGGCCATGCCCTTAAAAGGACAGGAGTGGGTTGTCTCCTTCCCTTCTCCCCCCCTTTCTACTGCTGGTGGGGGAGCTGAAGCAGCCATCTTAAACCATGAACAACATAGGAGCTGCGTGTTGAGGGTGGTGGAGCCATAGACACAAGGAGAGGCATGGGTCCCAGAACCTGTGGAGAAGCCTACTTAGCTAGACTGCTGCAGGAGGCAGAAATGGATTCCTCTCCTGTTTCAGCCACTGCTGTGTGGGTCTCCCCAGCAGACCAACTTTGCCCCATGACCAACCCTGAGTAGAGTCCGCTCAGGACAGTGGGTTGAGGGCTGGGGTAGGGATGGCAGTGGAGGTGGTGGCTGAGGGCAGTCAGCAGAGGCACTAAGGGCTAAGGGCTTGCAGGTGGGCTGGGGCCACAGGGGCCCCTAGAGCTCTGGGCTCCTGGTTCTGACTAGGAGGTCAGGGGAAGAGGATACTCAGCAGCTGGGGTGGGGAGAGCACTGCCCTGGTGGAGGCCTCGCCTTCCCACATTCTCACCAATGGGGCTGAACAGCGCTGCAGGTTGGCTCTTTCATTAGCAGCAAGGCTGGCTCCATCCCCACTTCACCTAGAGCCCCAGCCCCGGCCCTACCTGTTTTGCTCCTGGAGGCGGCTTTCTGTGAGTCCGGCGCCCGCCTGAGCTCCAGGCGCATCTTCTCCAGTTGTTGTTCAAGCACTACAGCACGCTGCCGCTCCTCCTGCAGCTTCCTCTCTGACTCCAGAAGCTTGCTGTTGCTCTCCTCCAGCCTGGGGATCAGAGAGGAGCGGCTGCCACACCCCTGGCAGTGGGGGCAGGCCCCATTGCACCTGCTCAGGTTCTCAGCAAGGTGGACAAGTGTTACATTGGTGGTGGTGGGATTTAGCCTTCTTAATTTTTATTGGAGTAACACAGGAATATGCATTTAAAATCATATAGTTCTCTTCAAGGATTCTGATGAAAAAATCGGCAGTCCTTCCTTACTTCCAACTCCTGCTCCCCAGAAGCAACCACTTACAACACTTTTAGCTGTGTCTTTGAATATTTACTACCATATTTCTACAGATGCTTATGCTGATATTTTTTCTAAGGCTTAAGTGGCATCTTTTGACTTCCTGTCATGCAACATGAGAATTTTGTTTTCTTATAGTACTCTTTCCTGAAAACAGAATCACTTCCCTACCTCTCAGTGTAGTTAGATTACCATTTTTTTGCTGGATTAATATTAGGTAGTTTATTAGTTTTCTATTGCTATTGTAACAAATTACCACAAACTTAGTGGTTAAAAACAATACAGATTTATCATCTCGCAGTTCTGTAAGTCAGGAGTCTGGTACATCAGTCGGTTTCTTTGCTCCAGGTTCCACAATGCTGAAATCAAAGTGTTGGCTCACCTGGGCTTTTATCTGGAGGATTTGGGGGACAATCGGTTGCCAGGCTCATTCAGACTGTTGGCAGAATTTGGTTCTAGGTAGTTGTAGGACTGAGGTCTCTATTTCCTTGCTGGCTGCCCGTCTGAGTCATTCTCAGCCTCTAAAGGCCACCTGGCCGCCTCCATCTTCTAAGCCAGCAATAGCAGGTCCTTCTGACGCTTAAGACTCTCTGCTCTTGTCCGCAGCATCGCTCTGACTGACTCCAGCTGGAGAAATTTCTCTGCTTTTAAGGGCTCAACGGATTAGATTGGGCCTATACGGATAATCCACAATCATCTTCCTATTTTAAGGTCCATAACCATAATTACATCTGTGAAGTCCCTTCTGCCATGTAATACTAAGTATGGATAGGTAGAACACCAGGGAGTGAAGGGCACTGGGGGTCAACATTCTGCCTACCACAGGGGGTTACATTGTTAGAGCAATTATTCACAGTGGAGATGCACAGTGTACTAATGATTACCTTTCACGTGTAATTTTCTGCTTTTCCTGGAGTTAGTGATTGCCTTTTGTCCACTGTTTCGTTTTCTATATACTGTACCTGTCATAAATTCATGAGCCTTGAAGGCCTTGTTATATGGTTATTTCACACCATACAATCATATAAACATATAATTTTATACGATATAAACATATAATGTTTTAATCTTTCTGAGGCTAGGTGTAGCGTTTAAGGCTTCTGTGGTACTACAGGTCAACCAGAAGGCCAGGGCTCCCTGACACGCAAATCATGACATGCAAATCAGGGTGGCAGCTCAGGAAGTGGTCTTTCCACCTTGGTGAAGGGCCAAAAAGATTCAGAATAACAACAGTTTTGAAGAGTATACAGGTACTAACACAATCTTGTCAAGGAAGGTTTAGGGCCCTAGAGAAACATACATGCCCAAAGACGATTGTTCAAGCATATTCTTCGAAACTTCATTTTTAAACCAAAAAAAGCTAAAACAATCTAAAGGCCCATCAACAGGGGAAAGACAAAATAAATGGTAGCAAATTTGTACTATGGAATGTGATGGAGCTGTGTTGGCCAACATGGTAGCTGCCAGCCTCACCTCCACAGGTAGCTATTTAAATGAAAATTAACGACAATTCATGAAAATTAACAATTCAGTTCTTTAGTCACACTAGCCACATTTCAAGTGCTCAAGGGCCACATATGGCTAACGGCTACTGTATTGAAGAGCACAGATACAGAATATTTCCATCACTGAAGAAAGTTCTTCCGGAGAGCACTGCTCTAGAGTAGAGAAAGAATGAGTAGATCTATATATACAAACATAGATAGATCTCCAAGTCACAGGACTGTGACATATAATATCATACCATTTATGTTAAAAAATTCACCAAGTAATAAATTTTCTATGTCTACCTATTCATGCCTGTAAATGCATGAACAAAGGTCTAGAAGGATGCACTCAGTAGATAATGGGGGTGAGGTGGGTTGAGGAGCAAGACTTGGTGGTCATATCCAAATGAGACTTTAGCTTCACCTGTTATCTGAAATGATAACGAGGAGACTCCAATCTTGTATTTGTATTTACAGAAGTTTTTAAAAAGACTAGGGCACTGGCTTTTTGTGAATTGTAAATTAGAGGCCAGTATAAGGTGAGATGTGGCCTTGTCTATCCTCACTGCCCGGCCTGTTGGAAGGAAGGTGGCTGGAGCCATTGGGGGTGACTGAGCAGTGGCCTTTGGAGCCAATACTCTGGGCCCCATTGCTCACCCTCTTCAAAAATCTGCCACAGGTGGGGACTCACATGGCTGCCTCATCCCCCTCTGGGTGTGGGAGGGGAATAAGTCTTTTCCATCCATAAATCTGACTGTGCTCACCAAGGCTGAGGCTGACCCTTACCCACCCACCTCCCACCCCCTTTAAAATACTCTCGGCCTTGGCAGTTCTCATCCAGAACGACCCTCACTATGTCTTGCTGTGACTCTTCCTCATGAAGCCCTGATCCTGAGAGGTCATGGCACTCTGCCATTCATTCACTCACTCGCTCACGAAACATGTCCTGACTACCCACATATGCCAGGCACTGTTCCAGGTGCACAGTGAGGAGCAGCCGATAGTGAGGGGGAGTCTTTTCCCCCAGCAGCCACCTGCTGCTGCCAAAGACCCTAGAAGTCAGAACCCTATGGAGGCTGAGGGAACCCACGCCTGTGGCCAGGACTGGCAGATCCAGGAGTGCAGTGAGAATACACATAGGTGACGACAAACCACTGGGCATTTAAGGGGAATCAGTTGCTTCAAAGAGGGGTCCAGGCTGGAAAATCAGCCCAGGTGGCCCCCTATTGATGGAGATGTAGCAGAGGAGGTAAGAGGGAGAAAGCTTAAAAATGCTTCAGTGAATTCTCAACGAGATTTGAAAAATACTGTAGAAGAGCTGATAGAGTGAGAAAGAACTCTTAGAAACAACAAGAAGCATCTCCAAACTTAAATAGTCATCACAAGTACGGACAAATAAAATGGTCCCTGGTGAAAATCAAATGAGTGATCCTGAAGATAAACTAGGCGAATTATCTCGGAACACAGAGTAAAAATAACCCGAGAAGTGGCAACTACTAGTGAGAAGATAAGAGCCATGGAGGACAGAATCAGAGAATCTAATCTCCAAACAACAGGAACTCTAGTAAGAAAGGGAAAAGCAGGAAAAAAGCAGTAATGAGAAAATGATACATTTTCCCTGAGCTCAGAAAAACCCGAAGTTTTCAAATCAAAAGGGCTCACTGTACCAGATATGATTACAAAAACAGACATCCTTAGACACAGCTGGTGACATATCTGAAGTCCAGGAGAGGTAAAAATCTTCGAGCAACAACCCAGCTAGCACTTCTTTGAGTACTCTCCACGAGCCAGGTACTGTGTTAAGATACTGCGTATGCATTACTTCATTTAATTCTCTAAGCAACCAAGAGGACATGTTAATATTTCAAGAAGAGACAGAAGGCCTGAACTTTAAAAAGGTTGTCAAAGATGTACCTTTGAAAAAGATATCAGGCCAAGACAGGTTCTCAAGAAAGTTCTATCTAACCTCCAAGGACGTGATCATTCTTGTTGATCAGACTATTCCACAACATAGAAAAAATGGACAGCTTCTCACATGTTTCTAAAAAAAATCTGATTTCACAGTGATAGAGCAAATGGATTAGTTTTCTATTGATACATAACACATTGCCATGAACTTAGTGGCTTAAAACAACACACATTTATTTTCTCACAGTTCCCGTAGGGTAGAAGCCGAGGCTTAACTTAGCTGGATTTTCTGCTCGGGGCCTCATACAACTGAAATCAAAGTGTCAGAAGGGGCTGCTATGTCATCCCAGGCTTGGAGTCCTCTTCAAGCTCATTCAGGTTGTTGGCAGAGTTCAGTTCCCTGTGGCTGTAGGGCGGTGGTCCCCGTTTCCTTGCTGGCCGTTGGCTGGGAACTGTTTCAGCTCCTAGAGCCCGCCCACCATTCCTTGCCATGTGGCTCTCCCCTCATATTGGCAGTTTGCTCCTTCAAGGGCTGCAGGAGAAGGTCTCTGCCGCTTCTACTCTCTACTTCCATCTCTGGCCTCTAAAAACTTGTGGCTGTCAAGTCAATTCCGATTCATAGCAACCATATAGGACAAGTAGAACTGCCCCATAGGGACAAGGAGCGACTGGTGGATTTGAACTGCCCACCTTTTGGTTAGCAGCCAAGCTTTTAACCACTGTGCCACCAGGGCTCCTTCTGACCTCTAGATTCTGATTTAAAGGATGAGTCAAAATTGACTCGACAGCAGTGAGTTTGGTTTAGTTTTTGTGATTTGGTCAGGCCCACTCAGGTCATCTCCCTTTGGATTAACTCAAAGTCATCTGATTAGTAACCTTGTACAGTGAAACCTGTGAGAGCTGGAACTCGACAGACTGCCTTCTTTTTCCCAGTCTCGCAAGTTTTCTGCCTTTGACAGGGCGCAGTCTTACCCCTTTTCTATTGCTTGTCTTAGGGGAAAATATTTGAGTTTTCCTTCTCTGACAGGTTTCCCCCTTACACAGGTTCCGGCTTTCAAAGGTTTTACTGTATATATCTGCAAAATTCCTTTTGCCATGTAAATTAATATAATCATGAGAACGATATCCCATCATATTCACAGGTTCTGCCCACACTCAAGAGGAGGGAAGTATATAAGGCATAGACACCAGGGGGTGGAAATCTTGGAGGTCACCTTAGAATTCTGCCTGCCACAGTAAAAACAGAGGGAAAAAGGAAGAAAATAAAATGCAGTGGCATTGTAAGAGAATACTGTAGCACAACACAGTTCAAGGAATACAAAGCTTATTCAACACTAGAGGTATAAGATTCAACATTGAGATTAAGGTCACGTCATCCTTTCAATAGACGCTGAAGAAGCATTTGGTAAAATCATTAGCCATTTCTGATTTAAAAAAAAAAAAGTCAAAGTAAAATGAGAATGGAAGGAAACATGTCAACACAACAACATATTTTAAAATCAGAAACCAATAACCCATCAGTAGAGGACGTAACAGTGGATCACACAATCAAGTACTATATAATCATACAAAGATACGAAGAGAATGTGATATATTGCGAAGTGAAATAAACAGCAGAAGAATATGCGTAATGTATAATCAAATTTAAAAATTTATAACAAATTAAACATTTTAAAATCCCACTGCTGTCGAGTCGATTCCAACTCACAGCCACCATACAGGACAGAGTAGAACTGCCTCAAAGGGTTTCCAAGGCTGTAATCTTTACGGAAGCAGACTGCCACATCTTTCTCACGTGGAGTGGCTGGTGGGTTCAAACTGCATACGTTTTAGTTAGCGGCTGGAATGCTTAAGCCCTGTGCCACCAGGGCTCCTTTTAAATTTAAAAATAGATAAATGCTAATGCTAATATAACTCAGCTGATGAACTGAAAACAAAGAGGAATATGCAGGAGTTATTGACTAGTTTAAGAGGCTTTCATTTTTCTGCTATGTATTTCAGTAATGTTTATATTTTGTTTAACTTTGTAATTGGGGAAATTCATAATAAGGGAAACAATAAAAGACATCAACAGCAAACATCATATAAAGTAATAAAGGATTTTATGAATTCCCACAAAATTCAGGCACAACCAAACTTTTGATTTCTCACATTCTTCTCCAATGTGCCTTCCCCATCTCAATAAACGTCACCATCACTCAGTCAAAAAGCCTGAGAGTCACCCTTGCCTCCTCTTTCTTCCTCACCTTCAGTTTCCAATCCATTAGCAGGCCCTACAGCTTCCCCCTCTAAAAAAAAATATTAAAGACTGCTAAAACTTAGTGTCAGTGAGGAGATGGGGAAATGGTTAGTAGTTCACATTATTGGTGGGAATGTAAATTGATTCATTTTAAAAGGGCAGTTTGCCATTCATTACTGTGAACATTTTAAACGTGTATATTCTCTGATTCATCAATTCAACTTTTAGGAGTTTATGATACAGAAATGCTCCCACAAAAATGTAAAGATGTGTTCAGTGTGAGTCCATTTTTTAATAATGTATGTAATGTGCACACGTGTGTGTATAATTGGATGTACAAAGAAAAGAATTGGATAACAGTTCTTATCTTTGAAGAATGAGGAATCGGGGGCTGGGAAAGGAAGCTTCTTTTGCAATAAATAAGTATTATGGTGGAGCCCTGGTGGCGCAGTGGTTAAGAGCCTGGCTGGTAACCAAAAGCTCGGCAGTCTGAATCTCTCAGTCACTCCTTGGAAACCCTAGGTGGCAGTTCCAGTCTGTCTATAGAGTTGCTATGAGTCAGAATCAACTTGACAGCAACGGGTTTGGTTTTGGTTTAAGCACTACATTTGTCATAGAAAAGCTAATAAAACTTTCAATAGGGGTTTTAATGCCAATGTAAGGGGCAGAAGACATAAACTGGGGCTCCTACAAGGCAGCAAGCTGGAAGTGAGTCTTCTGCAGAAATCTGGAAGGCTCTAAAGAATGCCTCATTTGTGTTAAGAGGATTAAAAACTATCCATCTATGAGCCCAGGGAGTGGCATGGAAGCTTGTAGTCTACCAGGGCCTTAAGTGGGGTGGGGGGCGGGGGACACCACTCATGAGAAACTGAAGCACAAGGCCAGCACTCATGTGTTCAGGAAATCCTAAACCAATAAATTAACATAAAGTACTGATCAGAGACCACTGAAACCCCAGAGGCTCCAAAGAAACAAAAGCAGAACCACTCTGTAGGAGCATTTTCATAACCCAGGCCCCCTAGGACTCCCAAGAGAAAAAAAAAATCCCCACTGAAGATAAGCTTGCAAAAACAACACAAAAATATAAACCACACAGGGAAATAATTCACCACAAGAGGAGTCAATAGCATTACTTAGGATCCTAAGTAATGAGGATGACAAAGCAATTTTAAAGGGACTAAGTAAGTTTAAAATTTATTAAAAAGATAAAGGCAAGACATCTTAATGAAAGAGAACAGGAGGTTTACATTAGAAATGAAAAACATAGTTCTTAAAATACACTTCATGGCAGATGAAGTGCTACTGAAGACATTTAGTGAGCTGGAGCATAGATTTGAAGATACCCAGAATTCAGCTCAAAATATTAAGAGAGATTAAGAATTGCAGTGGAAAGAATAAGAAGGTCTAACATATGCTGACTAGGAGGAGTTTTAGATGAAAAGAACAGAGAAAATGACTGAACATTTTCCAGAATTGAAGCCCTTGGACTGAAAAAACACACTAATCCCTGAGCAGGAAAAAGAAAAGAAAGTCTGTATCTAAACACATCATAGAGAAACTTGAAAATATCAAAGACAAAGAAAATATCTGAAAAGCATCCAGAGAGAAAGAACATTATTGACAAAGGAATGACAATCAAACTGATACAGACTTCTTCTTAGCAACAATGGACGCTAAAAGACAATGGAATTATAGCCTTAAAATGCTGAGAAAAAAAATATCCATCTATCTAGAATTCTATACCCAATTAAATTATCATTCAAGAGAAAAGCATAATAAAGACATTTAAAAGTAAACAAAGACTCAGAGTTTATCATTTACATACCCTTACTGAACTACAGGATGTACTTCCGTCAGAAGGAAACTGAACCCAGAAGGAAGGTTGAGATGCAAGAAGAAATTCTGAGCGAAGAAATTTTTAAACATTAAAAATGTTTAAATTCCGATGTCACCAAATGGTACCTGTAGAAACTGTTAAATTGGTGTATGTTTTGCTGTGTATATTCTCAACAACAAAATAAATAAAATTATATTAAAAAAATTTTAAAATGTTTAAAATTTTACCCACATTGGCAAAAGCAAAAAATAAACTATTTTTTTTAAAAAAAAAATGAATTTGGAGGGTTTAATTTCAGGGCATTTAAAAAAGAACGTGAAAGATAAATATTAGGAAACAGTAATGGAAGACCAAGTGGAAAATCTGAATTAAAACATTGAAAATTTACTCTGTTGCTTGAAAGATGATAAAGAAACTCATTCGTTTTAGACTTGCTAAGCTGAGTTTTATGTTAAAAGTTAAGGGTAACCACTAAAAGAACAGAGATATAATGTGTAACTTCCAAACTAATAATAGAAAAAAAGGAAATAAAGAAAACTGATCAATCTACTATTAGTAGAAAGAATGGAGAAAAAGGAGCAAAGAAAAACCATGGGAAATAGAAAACAGTAAGATAATCAAAATATTCCAAATATGACAATAAGTGAAAATGGGTTAAATTCTATTGTTAAAACACAGAAACTCCCAGGTTAAATTTTAAAACAAATCCAACTAGTATATGCTTTTTTGTAAGAGACATACTGAGTGGTTTTTGCCATGGCAGACTAACCAGATTAGCCCTTCCTATCAAAAAGAACTAGAAAAACGGATACAAGAAATAATGTTTCCAGACACCAGACAACAGACAGCTATGATCCTTCAGAGAAGGGAAACAAATGACATGAGTTCTACCCTCGCCCTGGCTTTCTGCTTAAGGCACTTTCTGCCTGGAATACAGGGAGAGGGAACTCAAGCCAAGCACAGTGGTCTCCCTGAGCTGAGGAGATGAGGCTGGGGGTTGGGGAGGCTGAGGCAGCTGAATTTGTAGGGCAGAGTCCTGGAGAGGAGGAAGCTACACAGAAAGACCTCCTCCTGAGCAAGACTGGGACAGTGTCTCTAGACAAGGAGTAGATATTGAGGATCTCTGAGAAAGCCACTGGGCCTGCACTATACCAGTAGTTCAGAAGATACTACCCCAAAGTTCCTGCTACCGAGATCCTTGGACCTTCTCGGGCTCCTCTCTTGCCCTGAACCTTAGAGTCTGCTGGCTACCCAGCAACTTCCAAAAAACTCCCTTTTACTGAACTTAGTCAGAATTGGTTTCTGTTGTCCGCCACCAAACAGCTCTAACTGATACACGATATGGTCTGTCAGGCAGGAACTGTGCTGTCCTTTGTATTTTTCAATGTGGAGGTCACATGGTTGGATCATGTGTTGGCCTGGGCAGCAGCAATTCTTGCCAAAAGGGTCACTTGAGTGAGGTGTACTGACTTATCTTAAAGGAAGTCTGTCAATAACCCTTTGGAGAAAACTGTGCCGCCTGGTCTACTGCCTTGGCCCCCTCCCCAGAGAAGTCTCAGCTCCCCCATCTGCCAGCAGCTCTCTTGTTTTTATAATTCCAGACATAAGTCTAGCCTATGTCTTCTTCCCACCAATTCTCCAACAGCACCAAGCAGAGTTCCAGGCTCATCCTAGATTTTAATTACTGGTGGGTTGATTTTACTGAGTCAACTTCTCCAGAGTCTCTCTCTCTAAAACTCCCACCTCATGTCCACATGCCATGTGACAGTCTAACTTGTGTGTATGGACTTGTGTCCCTGTGATGCAGGGCCCCAAGGGATGTGGGGCACTTAGGTGGGCACATGAGTCATGACTGGGAATACCCTAGATCAATCCTGTGGGAGCCAAGCTTTCAGGTGAGGTGGACCCAGACTTGGATGAGGCCCAGCCCCTGGGCAAGGGGGATGCCCTTGTGCCAGGCTGTCCACCCCAATCCCACGCAGGCCCATGAGAGAGTGTCCCTGGGTGCCATGTGTTACCGTTTCTGTAGGACAGTGACAAACTCTGTGAGCCGGTCACGCTCCACCTCGGTGGCCTGCCAGAGGGCCTTGAATTCTGTCACCTGTGTCTGCCAGCCCTTTTGTTCTGGGATGTCTGAGAACCTGGGGACCAGGGTGAATGGACAGAGAGCAGAGGTCATCTGAAGAGTGGCTGAAGACACAAAACTTACCAGGGGCCCCTGTAATGCTGGGAGGGATTGGAAGGACATTCAGGGGCCCTCAGAGATAGCCAGAGAGGAAGATGCCAACCCAGCCCATCCCCTGGCTTCTTCCTGGTCCCGCCTAAGTCCCTAAGGCCCCACTTAGCTGACTCCAAAGCTAGACACGACAACGGCTAGAGCTGCATGGGCACCTCAGGACATCCAATCCCCATGGGGCCTGGGATTAGTCTGGCTGCTATGGAAGCTGGCTCTTGTGGCCCTGAAGTGCCCTAGGTACCTGTGTGGCCTCTGGCGCCTGGCCATCCTGCCCAATACCAGGTGGGCCCAGTCCCTGTCTCCCTGCCAGCCTGCCCGAGCCCTCCTGTAGCTCTCATTTTCCTGGAGTCTGGACACCTTGGCTTTGAGACTTGGTCAGTTTTCTCCAGCCCTGACCCAGCCCATCATTGCTTCCCCCTCACCACTGGGCCTGCCTCCCAGCCCCCTACTTGCTGTCTGGGGCCAGGATAGAAGGTGAGCTCTGCCCCAGGGCCCACGTGTGAATTGCAAGCTGCTCTCTGCCTTGCCCTTCACCTTTCCCAGTGCGGGCTGGGTGACCTGGGCTTGCTCTCCCAGCATTGAAGGTCACAAGAAGGGCCTCAGAGGTGGGTGGTGGACCAACGGCTGGGTTGGGGCATGCGAACCCTGGGCTCTTGGCCTAGTCCTGAGGTGGACTTGCTCTGTGGTCTTGGGCAGATCTCTTCCCCTCTCTGGGCCCTAGTCCTCTCTCTGAACACTGAGGGGCTGGTTGAGATGGGCTTGAGGACTGCAGACCCTTCCATGCTCTGACTCCTAATGATGCTTGAAGGTCTTGCTACTCAAAGCGGTCTCTCTCCCAGACCTGTTGAGTCAGGGCCTGCATTTTAATGACATCCCCAGGTGATCTGTGTGCACACTGCAGTTTGAAAAGTCCTGCTCCAAGTCACCTTTGTGATTCTCAAATGGGAGGAGGGGGAACAGGGGAAGGGCTTCTGCCCCTTCAGACCCAACCAGAAGGGAGTGGGTTCAAATCATGCAGCCCTGGGATCACTCTCTGGGATCACTCCTGTCCTGTGAACTGCTATCCCACCAGTGAGGGGAGGGGACTGGAAGCCCCACGAGAGCAGGGCCTACACGTAGTTGGGTTCAGTAAACGTTTGTGTGCTGGGGAAGAACAAGCTTGAGAATCATCAGTCAGGGTGGCCAAGGAGCACACTGGCTCCTGCCATCCCTGCAGAGGGCAAAGGTCACAGCCACACAGGCCTGGAAGAGAGCTGAAGGAGTCATCCTGTCCATCTTCTGGCTCCCACTACCAGAGAATGGTTTCTCTTATGACTAAAAGCTCAGAGGCAGAGGTGTTCTCCCTGGTGGTGGGATGAGACCTCACCCTCAGGGGTGTGGCATGCGCCCTGTGGCTCAGGGTCAGCCCACTCTCCCCCAAGTTATGCCCCTCATGACCTACAGGGCTGGCTTTGGCCCATGGTGTCAGGTGTCAGCTGCCAGGTGTCAGAGTGCCAGAGTGCTGTAGGCACTCCTTGGGAGACAGCTGCCCAGAGAGAAAACCTACTTGCCTAGAGTCACACAGCAAGTACAACACGGGGCTAGGGCCACTTGGAGGCCTCGCCCCGAACCTGGGCTGACCTGCCTGGGGGTGCTGACAGCAGGAGCATGGCGCCAGTGGACAGTGGACGGGGCTCGAGACAGGGCTCAGAGGCAGGACAAAATCACCCTTTGTCTGTGAGCTGGCAGGAGGAACAAAGGGCCTGTTGAGGCCCTAAGGCTTGATTTTATCAACAAAGAAGGGCCAGAGAACCAAGGGGATATCAATCGCTTAGAGTGGGAACTCATATGACGTGAAACTTTCCCCCTACTGACTGATTCTCAATGGCAAGAGAAGGCAAGGGAAAGTGCTGGGAATCAGGCCCTGGAAGATTCCTTGTGTTAACTCTCTGGTAGTAGGAAGGAACACTGGCCGGGGAGTCACAGGGCCAAGAGTCTAGTCCTCAAACCCACTTGCTCTGTCACCCTGGACAAGAAGCTGGACCTTCCCCATTCTGCATGTCCTTATGTAACCTTGGAAGAGTCCCTGGACTTTGCCTGACCTCAGCTTCCCCTCCTTTTAAATGGGATGTCAGTGTTGGCTGAGCAATCAAGGGTGGGAAGGACCATGAGGGTCTGAGGGTCCTGGGTTCCATACCTGGGTGAGGGCCCATGAGGACTGGGCAGGGAGGGCCGCGTGAGAGCAGATTCCACCAGTGTGTGGCCCAGGCTGGTCACGGAGCTGCACAAAGATGGAAGAGGTCCATCACCACAAGAAGGGCCCCCACTGGGCCTCACCTCTGCGTGTGCTCAGCTGGGAGGGGAGCAGGGGCCAGCAGGGATCCCGGGAGCCTGAGGAGGTGGCCAGTGCCGGCCCTCGCAGCAGCCCTGTGGATTTGCGGCTCTTCTTCCCAGAACTCCTGTTTGCTCAGAATGAGACAGAACCAGGAGACATCAGAGCCTCAGACAATCAAACACAGGTATCTTTGAGATTCCTAGGAGCAGATGCATTTCGAGGCCAGCTCAGAGTGGATATTAAAGGGGGGCTGTAACCAACATGCAATAATACCTGGGCCTCAGTAGCTCCCTCCTGCAGATGCAATGCTATATAATAGGGGAGGACCACATATTGGAAAACCAGAGCCACAGTCATCTTAAAATTGCTTTCGTGGCTTCCCATCAGAGGCGGCAGGAAGCAGCCTTTCTTCTGAATAATTAATATGCACTTTCCAACCCCACAATCCCCTTTTTTTCTTACCGAGACGATCCAAGCCTGACAATGTGATCGCCTGCTGAGGCCGGGGACTTGGTCAGGCCTGGCTCCTCAGGGACCTTGGCAGAGGTGTGGTTGACCTCAGACCCACTGGATCCAACGTCCACGCCTTTATTCCGAAGATACTGCAGGGAATAGACATGGGTCCAATTCTTGGGGCTTTGGCTTAGAGGCCCGGAGAAGGCACGAGGGGGCTTGGCTTGATTTTGGGTCTTTCAGGGAGTATGAAAGAGGCTTCTTTTCAGGACAGAAAAACAAGGTCTGTTTGGTGAAGGCGCTGCTTGCATGATAATGACATCTAATAATGCCTCTTTTCAAAAAGGGAGCTACATGGTGTGAGGATGGTGATTGAGCCAGGAAGTTGGTGGACATTCAGGTCCCAAAGAGAGGTGCTCAGCCCTCAAGGCAGGGCGGAGGCTGCCAACTCCTCGGGGCCCACCTCTCTGGCAGCCCCACCCACATGCCGATGAATACTAGCTAGGTACAACCTGAGGCCAGCTTCCTTCCAGGCACCTGGAGCCACAGAGGTTGGCAGATCCTCAGCAAGGGTCAGGAGCCTTGGGTTGAGGCTGGGCTTCCTAGGTCCCTCCCTGAATCGCACCCCTCCCGGCTATCTTCTGAATACCTGGTGGGGCCTGGCTGAAGATGGAACATTAGAGGACCCACAGCATGGGGTGAGGACACCATTAATGGGAAGACAGTTGAAGTGAGCCCCAAACAGCCTGGCATGCCCTCCAGCCTCACCCATTCTGAGATGACCTACAACGTATGCTAACTTGTCTGGTGGGTAATGCTTGGTCAAGCGGCTGGTGACCTCTGAGGTAAGGACTGGTCCTCTCTTGTGTACCTAGAGCAGGGACAGCGGTGGGGCGAAGATTCTAGAATGTTCCTGTGTGCCCCCTCAGACTTCACTTCCCAGTGAGCCTGTGATGGGAAGCAGGGTGAGGACTGCAAGATGATGCCCCCACTCATTACCACACGCTGTGCTCCCAGGCCTTCTCCATGTTCCGGGGCCTTCCCCCAACCTAGGGGCTTCCAGTACTCTCTACGACAGCCAATCCTGTGGCCCCAGGCTGCCCGACCCCAGAGACGGACGGCTATAGGACAAACCAGGTTAGCCAGCCAACCCTACCTGAGGTTGGGACAAGGGGCTCCTGGGTTCCCACACCTCTGACCAGACCATGGGTCCCTAGAACAAAGGGCAGGGCTGCTCTGTTTCACACTTTTGGCTTTACCGGTCAACTTCCCAGGGGGCCAGAGGCTGTGAGGCTCCTCCTCCACTGGGAGACCTGAGTGCCTGTCCAGGAATCCTTCCTCCAGAGACCACCAGCTGATACCCTTCTCTGCCCCCCAGCACCACCACCACAGGAAGGAGCCATAGAGAGCCCAAGGTGCCTGACTCTAAGCAGCCCCAAGCTGTGCCCTCAAAGCATCTGCCGAGGCAAAATATCTTCAGGGGCTCACCAGTTGATAAACATTTACTGAGTATCTATTGTGTGTTCAGTCCTGTGCCATGGCCTATGCACCCTCGAGGGGACTTCAGAGGATAACACAAGAAAATGACCACACAGTGTGACAAAGGTTTGGCTTGGGGACGCATAGGGAGTTAGCAGAGTGCCCAGGAGGGGCACGTAACACAGAATGGGGGTCCTGGGGCTTCCTGGAAGAGCTTGTGACCAGGTAAGCCCTAAAGGCTGAGGGGCAGCTGGCCAGGCAGAGCCCATGGGGGAGGAAGGGGAAGGAGCGTGTTCAGGCATGTGAGCAGGCCTGTAGTGAGGAGACAGAGAGCCCACGTGAGGTGCTAAATGGCATCCATGGGCCAGAGCATGGGGAGAAGGGAATAATAAAGAGAAGATGCAGGAGTGGTAGCAGTAAGAGCTAGTCATGTGGTACTCTGGAAGCTGGATGAAGAAATTTGGCCTTCTGCCTGTCATCCTGCTGCCTGGAATGTGAATGCAATGGCTGTAGCTGTAGCCACCATCTTGGATTATGAGGATGAGGACCACAGCTGGGGATGGGAGCCAGTGAGCTAGAAGAAGCCTGGATCCTTGAGAAACTGGTGAGGCAGAGGATCACGGGGAGCCATGAACAGCTTTAAGCAGAGCAGGGACATAATCAGGTTTGTGTTTTAGAAAGGAAAAGTATGTGCAGAATGGGCTGGGGGGCCAGATGGAGGCAGGTAGGATGTGGTGTGGCCAGAGCTAAGTCAGGTTGAAAGAAGGGAAAAGAGTCAAGATTTTTCCGGATGATGGATGGGCTTGCCAGGGCTGAAAACAGGTACCCGTGTCAGTGCCCCACTCACCTGCACACTGAGCTGCCCAATCTCCAACTCCAGCTGCTGCACCTTGGCCTCCCGCTCAGCCACCATGGCCCGCAGCTGGGCGACGAGGCTGCTGCTCCGCTGAGCCTCGCTGTTGAGCTTCTGGTCCAGGCGGTGGTGGGATGCTCGCGTCTTCTCCTCCTGTAGACTCAGGCTGCCCAGGATCTCCTGTAGCTGCTTCAGCTGGTCCTGGGTGGTCAGGGGGAGGGCGGGTGGGGGTCAGCCATGGGAAGGGAGGATAAGGACAGGCTGCCTCCCTTAACCCCCAGAAACCCACCCCCTCTGTTCCCACAGGAAACTCCCACAGGAAGCTGAGTGTTCCCTTGAGAAGCAGCAGGACCCCCTTTCTTGCTTGCCCTCGGGGCCCAGAAGGCTTCAACCAGGCAGGTGGGGACCATACTTGTGTCTTCCCTTCTCTTGTCCTCAACTTCTTTCTCTCTGAGATTGGGCCATGAAGGCCATCCAAGGGGCTCTCAAGGACAACAGAAAACAGCTCACTTCAACTGGTGGGGGATATTTATATGAAAGAAACCCTGATCCCACTCTGCTGGGAGACCACCCTGAGAGGCACTATCTGGACCCCTTGCCAGGGATCGCTGGTCATGAGATTTCAGCACCTGACTCAGGCCCATCCCCTGGAGATGCCTCCAAGGAGATTCCTAGGACAGAGGCTTCCTGCCTGGGGAGGAAGGACCATGTCAGTGATTTGGCCCAGGTGGGGGCTGGTATCCCCATCTCACAGATGAGTAAACCAAGGGTCAGAGAACACAAGGGCACACAGCTGGTGAACGGCCGGGCTGGGCCTGGTTTGCAGTTCCCATCATGCAACCTTCAGTAACCAGAATGGTGGGCACACAGGGACCTCAGAGGACACCCTGCCTCACACCTTTAGTTTAAAAACTGGGGAGCTGAGGCTGAGAGGGATGCAACTGGCCCAGGGTCACATAGCTGACTACGGACAGAAGTCAGGCCTAGATTTCTGGTCTTTTGTGCCCTGCCCACTGCTGTCTTGTGAAATTCTTATTGATGAAGGTGGGTGCCTGAGCCAGCATTGGCCCCCCACCAGCATCCCAGCTGAGGCAGGCATGACACCCCTGGGGCTGTGGGCACCACCTGGAATTTACACACCAAAGCCCTGGGGTGCCTCAGTTCCCAGAGAGGAAAGCCCTGTAGGCTGTAGGGTGAGAAAACAGTGCTGCCTTGCTAATTGAGGAGGGGTTTTACAGTCAGATAAACCTGGTTTGAACCCAGGTGTGTGGCCTTGGATGGGTTCTCTGACTTAATTTCCCCTTTGCGAAATGGGATTATAATAGATGACCCTGGGGGTTGTCTTGGGCTTAACTGTAATAAGCCACCCTCTCAGTGCCCGGAAGGGGAGGGGCTCTCTACGTGGAGGTTACTGCTATCACACAGACAATAATCTGTACTGGCCCCCTCAGCTGTCCCTTCCATTCCTTGATGCAAAACAGCCCAGGTGTAATCCCATCCCCTTCCTCCTCACACATTTCTTTCTCCGTTGGGGTCGCAGGCCCAGTGGCCCATGTCCGGCAAGGCCAGCATCACAGCCCTCTATGTGCCCTCCGGCGCCTCTCTCAGCAGCTCCTGTCTCTGACAGGGCTTCGGTGCTGGGGCCCATCTGGAGGCAATGGGCTTCTAGGCTGTACAGGTGGCATTTTGGGGTAAGGAGGTCCCATCTGGTAGGGGCTGGGTCACAGTATTCTGGGCAAGGTGGGGCTCCATCCTTTTGGGGATGGGGCCCTGGCTCTTGCCCTGAGTGGCTGGGCCGTACCATGAGGGCGTCAATGAGCTCGTCATCATGCCTGCCCTTCTCCACCAGGGTGCCCATCTGACTCCTGAGGGTCTTCACTTCGCTTGACAGCACCTTGTTCCGAGACTTCAAACCCTCAAACTTCTTTTTCAGCTCTTCGAGCTCTTTCTGGAGAGTGTCCCGCTCACCTGCAAGTTTCTGTAACCGGAAAGCACCATCATGGGCAGCAGGGCTTAGCCAGACCTTGGCCACCTCTGGTCCTTGCTCTGAGTTACTGGTGAGGCCCAGAGAAGGGAGGGCACTTGTTGAAGGTCACAGAGCAAGCCAGCAGACTCCCAGCATAGGCTTCCAGCCCAGGACAGTCAGGGATGTCTGTGGGCCTGCAGCCTCCCTCCCTTCCCCTCGCACACGACAGACTCACTAATGGAGGGCAGCACTCCTCTCTGCGGCCCGAGGACATGGGCTTCCAGGCAGCTGCCCCTGCTCTGCCAGACTTGGGACATGAGAGGAAACACACTGGCCAGCTCTGCGTGTGTCCTCCAGAGAGCATGGGTGTCCCACCCTCTGCCACTCCCCGAGCTGGGGAAAGAGAAAAGCCACACTTCCATAAATAGCACAAAGTCTTGGGTTCAAGCTGAAATGCCTCACCGCACTGAGAGCTAGAAAGAGAGGAAGGTTCTACCCGCCACACCATTCTCTCACTTCCTCCATACAAGTCCAGGACATCACCCTAGACTCTGTGCCTCACTTCTGTCTGCTACAAACTGGAAACGCATGTGCTGCCCACGCCTTTGGGAGTCTCTCAATCATTCATTCCTTCAGTCGCAAATATCTCCTGAGGGCTTACTATGTGCTTGCCATTGTTATAGGTGCTCCAGATACAGCATCGAACAAAACAGAGTCCTTGTCCCCAAGGAGCAAACATCCTAGCAGGGAAGACAATCAACAGCAATGAGTATTTGATAAATCAAATGATGATAAAGCTAAAAGTAGGAGAAGGGATTAGGAGGCAGGGGTGCAGTCAGGGAAGGCCTCTCTGAAAAGAGGACATCTGAGCAGAGACTGAAGGACGTGATGGTAGGAGCAAAGGCCCTGGGGTAGAACCAGTGTGGCTGGCACACAGTGGGGGGGGGCAGGTCATGGCAAGGTCAGAGTAGGTAAATCCTCAGAGCCAAGATCAAGACACAGAGGAGCGTCTTAGGCAGTGGATGATATAAACTGACTTGTGTTCAGGGGGCATTATCTCTGGAAAAGTGTTTTCAGATCCTGGATGAAGTGAATTATAGAAATGCAAAACAGTAAAACATGATGAATCCACAGGACCACAAGCAAATAAAAGCTATGCTGGCTGTTTGCGGAGAGGTAGCCATTGTTCACTTGTTCTGTGGTGTCCAAGCTCCAGGTGCCAGTGGGTGCCTGACAGGAAAGGCACACAGGACATCATTTCCTTCTACTCATCGTTGTGGCTTACAGTTGGTGCTATGATTCTAACACAATTCTGTTCTCTGTGTGTAAGTTTGAGGTAGCTGCACCTCAAACCCAATGTTTCCATTTCCCCCTGAGCTTACTCCCCTTCCTGTCTCGCCTATCTACCTGCTTTACTTGTGGGAAGTCCTCCACAATTCTGCCTATTCCTCACCCTCCCATGTCCTACCAGTCACTGAGCCCCACAACACTGCCCCTTCAAGGCCACAGGTGTCGGCTCTTCTTTGACAGTCCTGCTGTTTTGGTGCAGGTCTTTGGTCATGTCTCTAGCAGATTATTATTTCTGCTCCCATGCCTCCTCCAACCCATCATCTACACACCTGACCGTGCAGCCTTTCCAAAATGCACATCTGACCACGTCCCTCCACAACTTAAAACACTCTGGTGGTTCTCCACTGCCTTCAAGATAAAAGCCAAAATCTCTCGTCAGAGCATAAGGTCCTGTGTGACTGGGCCCCACCCACCCCTCCAGTCTCACTGTTCCCCACCTTACACCTGATGATCTAGTAGTGCTGGGGTGGGGGAGGTGCACTGTGGTGATGGTCACATGTTCCTAGTACAGGGCCTAGCCTTGAGTTGGTACTCACAAATGGAAGTCCCACGATGAAAAGGTAAGGTCCTCACTGTTAGGAAGTCCATTGCCAGGGCCACTGAAGTGGCCTGTTGCTTGGTCTACTAGTACCTCCTCCCACTTCTACTTTTATTTGAGGAAGCCCCATCTCCCACTCTCAGTCCATGGTTGGGGGAGACCTACAGTCAGGCACCTGAAGTTTGGCCAATCAAAGCATCTCATACCCTTAGCCACAGTGATTGGCTCAGGGATGGGCACATGACCCAAGCTAGGCCAGTAAGACTCAATTTGGGGACTTTGTTGGAACTACTAGGAAAGAGAAGCCCTTTGTCTGTGGGGTTGGGTTGGAGGTATAAGCTGGGACTACTAGTGGTCCCCATAGGAGAGAGCGAAGCCAACTCGGGGAAATGGTGCTGAGACTAAATCTCCAAATCTTCAATCCATCTGTGTCTGAAGTCAGGCCACCTCTGGACTGTTCATCTACATGGGCTCTTAAATTTCCTTTGTTGCTTAAGCTTGGTAGAGTTAGGTTCTGAAACTTCTGATATAGCCAGTAAGACACAACTGTTGGTGCTGATACCAGCCTGCCCACCTCTTTCATCAGCCTGGAGCTCTCCTCCTTTAAGCCCAATCTAACCATATCACTAAGTCCCTGGGTGGTGCAAATGGTTTGTGCCGGACTACTAACCAAAAGGTTGGTGGTTCAAACCCATCCAGCAGCACTGCAGAAGAAAGGCTGGGCAGATTGCCTTTCTGTAAATATCACAGCCAAGAAAACCTATGGTGCAGTGCTATTCTGTAACACATGATGTTGCCATGAGGTAGAATGGACTCAATAGGAACAGGTAATCATTTCATACCTCTGGGACCATGACCCTCTCCCTCTCTCCTTTACAGTGTAAGTTTCATGTCCAATATCTCCAAAACAGCTAAGGATGGGGTCACCCAAAGTCCACTATGTACCCATGAAATGGGCTTGTGGTGAGGTCCCAGTGAGAAAACTCAAGCCAGATCAACGGAACCTGAGGACCACGCACAGAGGTGACCAATGCCCCAAGTGACTTCTGCCTAAAAGGATGCCTCAGAGCTTCTGATGCTGCTATGGATTGCACTGCGTCCCCCAAGAGTACGCATCAACTTGGCTAGGCTATGATTCCCAGTATTGCGTAGTTGTCCTCCATTTTGTCATCTGATGTAATTTCCTTGGTTGTAAATCCTAACCTCTATGATGTTAATGAGGCAGGATTAGAGGTAGTTATGTTAGTGAGGCAGGACACAATCTACAGTATTAGGTTATATCTTGATTCAATCTCTTCTGAGATATAAAAGACAGAGACAAGTGGAGAGAGAGGGGACCTCATTACCACCAAGAAAGAAGAGCCAGGAGCAGAGTGCGTCCTCTGGATCCAGGGTTCCTGCACTGAGAAGCTCCTAGACCAGCGGAAGACTGATGACAAAGACCCTCCCTCAGAACCAACAAAGAGAGAAAGCCTTCCACTGAAGCTGGCACCCTGAATTTGGACCTCTAGCCTCCTAAACTGTAAGAGAATAAATCTGTTTGTTAAAGTCACCCATTGTAGTATCTCTGTTATAGCAGCACTAGATAACTAAGACAGATGTCCATATCTTAGAACAGACGTCCATATCTTAGGGGTGGTCATGATCTCCTGGTTCTACCAGCCCAGTTGACCTCCTCACCAGGCACGCATTACCTCCCAGCCTTCCTGTTTTTCCCTTTCCAGGATGCGGATCCTCAGCAGGTTTTTCTCCTGTGCCGACAGCTTCCTTGGGTCTGAATGGATGGACAACTCATCACCAGCTGTTCCTGCAGATCGGCTCCGGGTCTGTCCCAACTGCTTTTCCAGCTCTCGAACCTGAGGAAGGTAAATCTTATCTTTCTGTAATGGGTCTGCAATTACAGACTCTACCCCACAGAGGGGCTGCCCTGAGGTGTGATGGGAGACCCCACTAGACTGAGTATCAAGCTACTGTTGCAGGTGGTTACGGGAGCCCCATGTGAGAGGGATAGGCAGGAAGGGATCTGAGTTGGGATTTTGCGCAAAACAAGGAAGACGCTGAGAGAGGTTTAGCTTAGAAAAGAGAAATTTCAAGGTAAATGAGAAAAATCACCCCATCTCTGAGGGACTATTTGAGGCCAAGAAGCAGACATGTGGCCTCCAGGAATCTGTGAGGGAAAGGGTGGAAGGTCTCAGTACAAGGAAGTACTCTCTAACAGCTGGGTGCGCTCGTCAGGAGGCAATGGGTTCCTCGCCACTTGCAGGAAATGTCACAGAGGAGGGCAAGATTTGGAAGCTGAGAGACTGGCTCAAAGCCTCACTGGCTACGTGACTGTGTGCAGGTTACTTCTCTGAATCTCTGTTCTCTCATCTGTAAAATGGGCCCAAGGGTATACCCTACATAAGGTGGTCATGAGGACTCAGTGAGATAATGCAGGGTATCCCAAACTTGCCTGAGCCTGGGAATCCTCCAAGATATTTCTTAAAATGACAAATCTTGGGGTGCACTCCAGACCAACAGAATCAGAGCTCCGGGGGTGGGGGCAGGAATCTGTATTTTTAACAAGCACTGTGGGTTATTTCTAGGATTCGGTAACTTGGAGAAACCCTGAGATGGCCCAGGTGAAGCCCTCAGCATGGATCCTGGCACATACAGGCATGTGGCAGGTAAATATCACCCCACAGAGCCATGGTTTCATCAGACTGGGACTGAAGCAGATAACTCCTAGGGCCCTTCTCACCTTGGTTCCCATGTCAATACAACCAAATGATGGAGCAAAGCTGGGTAAAGCTGAGCCAGGAAAGGAGGCAAAACTCACCAGTGTCAATGGCAAAGGCGGCAGCACCACTTGGAAAGCACATGCCAGTGCCCTCGTGTGGCTTTGTGTGGTAACTCCATTAAACATTTAAAGAACACAGTATTTTAATTTTCTATTTACACAACTTAACAGCAATAACAATAATAACTAATTTGTTGAGTGCTTATTATGGCAGGTACTTTTCCAGGTATTGCTTCACTTACCTTCACAACAACCCTGCAAGGAAGGTATTGTTGTCTCCATTCCCAGGGGAGGAAACTGAGGCACAGAGAGATGTAGTAATTTGCCCAGGGTCACAGAGCTATGAACCGTGACAGAGGCGAGACTCAAACTCATGTCTCTTGAACTTCAAGGCCACACATTGATCATCAATTACAGCTTTTTGGAATATTTTCCCCCTTCATGTTGGCTTCAAGGATCCCACAGGAGACCCTGCGGAGCAAAAGCCACCCAGGAACTGTGACCTAAACTCCCTGGGAATGAAGGGGACATTCTTGGCAAATACTGGAAGTTATACATTTATTCATGTGTTTCTTGGTTTGAAGGCAGAAAGGAAAATAACCACAGCAAACCTATGTCACTGTGCTGAGCCCTTGATACCTACTGACTCATTCAATCCTTCCAACCAGCCCACTGTCATCACTCCCATTACACAGATGAGAGAACTGAGGCTCAGAGAGATGAAGTAACTTGGCCACGGCTACGCAGCTGCTGAGCAAAGAGTTGGGATTTGAATCCAAGCAGTCTGGCTCTAGGTATGCTCCAAAATGTGTAGAAAATGAAGAGGAAGGCAGGCTAAGTTTTTATTGGGTAATTAAAACTTTCAAAAGACTGGAAGCATCTGGACCAAACTGCTTGGAAAAAGCCTACAATTACAACAGTCACGCAAACTTACATGAGCTAGGAAAAAATATGTTTAGAGTGAAATAAATCAAATCAGAGGCATTAGCATTTGTGAAGCGCTTAGAGCAGTGCCTGGCGTGTGGCTGTTATATAAGTGCTTGTTCATTAAATAACAAATTACAATCAGGCTGGTCATGAGGATGTAAAACAGCTGTGAGCGTGCTCTGTCGTACTACAGGCCTTCTTTGGGGTCCGTGTGTAAGGCTCTCAGGTGGGTCAGTGCGGGTCTTTCTGGGGCATCTCAAGACCCTTTGTTCACGGCCAGGAGGAGTCTGCTGACTCACTCACCTTGCGCTGCAAAACAAGAATTTGTTGAGCCCGACCGCGCCAGGTCCCGGGGCTGGACAGGAGCTGCTGGACGTTCACGTCTTCCCCGACCTCAGAGGCCAAGACCTGAAATGAGGCAAGGCCTTCAGTGTGGCCAGGAGAGAGGGTCCCACCAGACCCCTAGTGCTGCATACAGTTCAGTAGTAATATAGGGTGCATGGGGCTCCTCAGAGGGTCCTGCCTCTGCCCACACAGCCTCCCTCTGCTTCAGTGCGTGGCACTCAAGGGCCAGTTTACCTCGACCCCTGGGAAAGTAGTAAACCCATCCTCCCCAGCATTTCCCGGACAGCGCTTAGAGCAGCGGAGAAACTGTCCACAATGTCCAGATGGGGCCCCTTGCCCTTGTCATGTCCTGGGATGACTGAACCACAAAGCTGATCAACACCTGCTTCCTTAACCTGTTCACCTGCCACCGAGAACCCAGGTAATTGCAAATGATCACAGGAAGTACACTGCCTCAAGGCTTTGCCCTCTGTGAAAAGCCACCCATAAGTGGCCATCTCTGGGTGCAGCAAGGAGAAGGGCTACCGAACATCAATCGGGGATGCAGTGGTTCCAGAAAGGCCCAACTTTGCAGCTGGTGAAGGACAGCACTCAGGTCCTACCTTAAGGCTTTGAGGTGGAAACAATATGCTTCAGCTTGTGACATGGGCCCTGAAGCCTGTCACAGAAACCTGATCCTGTGTACCAAGTCTGGTGATTGTTTCCACAATAGAACACTGTTTGAGAAATCTTGGCCGGTCTGAGTGGTTCCAGCAGGGAAGACAAATGCCAGAGAATTCACTATGTAAATAAAAATAAATAACGAACCAGCTGGGCCTGCGTCCCAAGTATGAACATTCGCCTTTGAAAGGGGCCTTTAATAAACAAACAACTTATTTATTTTCTAGTATCATAGACACAGCAGAGGGCAGGAGGCAGGTTCCTGCAGGCTCCCAAGGCCAAGGTGCCTTATTAAGGAGAGACCTGGGATCTGCTGGGGTGCAGGTAGCACAGGGAAGGTTTAAAGGGGTTAGCCTGGGGGTACAGTGCTGTCTTATGGTCAGGCATGCATTCAGGGCCCCTTGGGCAGCGAGAGGCCCTGCCCACCAAATGGGTCTGTACCAAGAGCTGGCAGAAAGAGGTTACCAGACCTGGAGCCCAATGCAGAGCATGCTGTAGGATGCTCCTGGGGCTGAGCACTTGCTGCTCTTGAACGGAACCCAACATCCTGGCCACGCATTTCCCAAGCCCAGCCCCAGCCACACAAGACCTGAGCCCTCGTGCTGATACCTTTTGGGCTACCCTGAGCTCCTGCTTCACGGCCTGGACCTGGTTGCGGAGGTCACTCATTTTCAGGTTTGCAGCTGCCAGCCTGTCCTGCAAGGCCTTCATCTCTGGGCTCTCCGGCTGGTTGGGAAGGAAGGAGAGCAGTCTAAATAGCAATAATCATCACAGCCCTCATTTATCCAAGCATGTGCCGGGCCCTGTGCTAAAGTGCTTGGCATGGAGTAACTCATTAATCCTCACCAACCTGGGAGGTAGTTCTTTTGTTAGCCCCACTGTAGAGATGCAAAACGAAGGCTGGTAGAGGTTAAGTTCATTTGGCTCAGGGTACCTGGTTGGTAAGGGTGGTGCGTGGATTTGAATCCTGGCAGTCCAATTCTGGGGTCCAAGCTCTTTGCTCAGTGTTGTGCACATACACATGCACACACACGCACATACAAGTGCAAACATGCACATACACACACACTCATGCCCACATGCAGAGGCCACAGAGGTGGAGCATATGGAGGAAGCCTGCCGGCTCCACATCTCCCAGACACTTCCTGAGGGTGAGCTCATTCTCCTGTGCTCAGAGGCCACGATCACAGCAAATCCATCGTCACTCAGAGTAAAGACGGAACTAGCTAATTGTCATCCTAACTCAGGGTCTCCCTCTTCCAGGAATCATGAGGCTAGGCCTTGGCCTCCCTTTCCTGGCAGTGGCCCACCAAACAAAAATAAGGACCCAGTTTATTCCCCCAAATACTCCATCTCTGTGGCTTGAAGAACTGCAGCCACTATGAAAACTCTGCCTACTGGAAGTCAGCAATGTCATTTAAAAAAAAGTCATTGATTTAAACCATTTGGATGTAAATTTTTCTCAAAGACTTTGCTTACTTCTCTCTGTTTAACAGAGTTTCCTGAGCACAGACTCACAGAAGTTTGGCATTAAAGGGACCTCCAAAGTCAGGCCATTTAAATCCCTTTCATATGTGATGAAAATAAGGCCCAGAGAGGAAGTAACTTGCCCTTAGGGGTGACAGAAGTGGGATTAGAACCCTGGTTCTTTCCTTGCACTGGCTAGTTCTTCCAATTTAACCTGTTGCTATGTGGGCTGAGCATCTTGTCAGGCAGTAGGACTGAGACCACCTGACCCTAGCCTAACACCCTTGGGTGGGTGGACTTCTGCGAAGCAGGGTGGGCAGTGCAGTGGCTTTCTGATTTTTCCTTAGCAGTCGCCAACAAGATCTCATGTGAATACCAGTGTGAAAGACAGCTCCCAGTAGATGGTGTCCAGAAGTTTCATGGACCCCAGGGGCCCCAGGTGGCTGAGCTGAAAACTACTGGTCCAGAACCCCTGGCTTGATCTGGTTTCCTCATATGTAGAATGGGTATAAAAATACACCCATTCCTCACTTATTGACATGGTTAGATTCCAAAGACCAGGTGGTTGTGAGGAAATCAGCATTACACAAAATGGAGGATGACTACATCATTCCATAACTGCCAAACCACTGAGAATCATAGCCCAGACAAGATGACACATAAACTTAACCAATACAGCCTGCGTTACTCTCACCTCACACTTGGGCGTTCATTACTGCCAGATGTACATCATTAATGTACAAAATAGTAAGATAGTAGATTTTTTACTATTGTTGTAAATGTGAAATGTCGGATAGTCAATAAGTGAGGAGTGGATGTACTTCCTTCTCCTGCTTCCTCACAGCACCACCATGAGGCTAAATAAGATAACCAATGTGAATGGGCTTCGCAAACTGAAAACTTATAAAAAAAACAAATGTATCCTTTTTTTAGTACACTGTGTGTGTGTCCTTCCCCTTCTGGCTGCCTGCCATTCCTTCTCACTGTTGCCAGGTGCCTGTCTTCTTCTCCCCTGCTAATGTGCCGCTTTGAGTTTGCCCTGGGTTGGGAAGCAGTACTCCAGCCTGTGAGGTCTCCAGTGCTGGGAGCCCCATTGGCTCTGACGGGTGGGGGGTGCTGGGAGCTGTGGGAGCACATGAGCCAGCCACGTGGATGCTGAGACCTGCAGCATCTCTTTGGTCTGCACAGAGAGTGGGAGGGGCACAGTCCTTGGATCAGATTCAATCTGGATTTCTAGAACCCCAGGAAGTGAGATCCTCTCTTCAAGCCTCAGTTTCCTCATCTGTAAAATAGGGGTATGTATACCAACCTCCGAGTTCCCGGGAGGTGTAAATGATTGATGCACCTGGCTGCTAACTGAAAGTTTGAGTCCAGCCAGAGGGTACCTTGGAAGAAAGGCCTGGTGATCTATGTACAAAAAAATCAGCCATTGAAAATCCTATGGAGCACAGTTCTACTCTGACGCACATGAGGTCGCCCTGAGTGGGAATCAACTCGACAGTAACCGGTTTTTAACACTAACCTCTAGGATGTCTATGAGGGTTGATGAGATGACGCATGTACACGGTCCTGTCTGGGGCTGAGTTCTGACAGAGGCCTTGCCGGAGGGCCTAACGAGGCTCAGCGGGCAGCTGGCAAAGGGGGCCAAGGGCCAGGTGGTATTCTCAAGATGGCTGGGGCCCACGTACAGAAGCAGCAATCACTGCTTCCGCTCTGCCTGTCCCCAGCCGTCCCCAGCAGCTGGGCCGACCCTACCTTCCAGTCATTTTAGAGATGTTTCTGCCCAGAGTGAAATCCCACAGGCTTCAGGGGGACCTTGGTGTGGGCACGCACACCCCTCTCCCACTGCCCCAGCTGTTTTCAGTCCATGGGGGACAATGCCAATGCTGCTCACACCACAGCCTGCAGGAGCCTGCCGGAGCCCCATGCTGAGGGAGGGTGCTCAGCTCCTCTCTGGAATGTGCTTTGGCACCCAGGGTGGAATGTGGATCAAGTCTACAGGCCTGAGTGTGGCTCAGGCTTGGGCTGCCCTGGACGGTCTAATGAAGGGAAACTGCTTTTGTTCTCCTTCTGATCAAAGGATGCCAGAGAAACACGTGCAGCTGATGAGCTGAGACATGCAGCCCATCAACTACTCCCTGATCACAAACTCCAGGCTCCCTGCAGCCACAGAGCCAGGTCAAAACTCCCGCTCTAGCTCGATTCAGGGCCTCCCTCTATGACCACATCTCAGCTTTTCTGGTTTATGTTCCCTTTTTCCCTTCATGGGCCCTGGGTTGCAAGCTGACAGTTAAGCAAACTGGGCAGGAATACTTAGTGCTTCCTGGCCTCTGTGCCTTTGCTTGCACTGTTCCCTTTGGAAGGTCCTGCCCTACCTTCCTTCTCCAGAAGGCCCACCTCAAGTACTCCTCCTCAATCCTGCCTTCCCGCTGCCTCACATGGAGGGTGTGTGCCCTTTGCTGAACTCAGAGCTCTCTCTGAAGGCCCTGTCCACATCCTTCCTTCAATATGTCTACTCATCTCACCTCCTAGACCAGGAGGGCCCCGTGGACAGAGGCCCTGTCTTTGGTGCCCTATGTCATGGCTCACTGAGTGACTGAACAAGCAGCTTCCTGTCCAGGGCAGCTCTAGGGGCATGGGTTACTCAATGGTCTGGAATAAACCAGGGCATCTTAGCAGTGTCCCTCAGAGCCAGGAGAGGCCCTGGAGAATGTTCAGTCCAGACTTTGCCCACGGAAGGGCCCCCTCTGCTGCCTCCCCAGGAATGAGACTGGTTTACATAAGACGGGCCTTAAGGAAACAGATTAACCCCTGGGTGGACTCAAACCTCCAAAGAAAGGTCCATCCCTGTACATGGAGGACTGATTTTTCTTGTCAAGATGACCGTGAGGCAGCCTGATCCTGAAGTGTAGACAACAGGGGAGATAGGGCTGGGGAAGAAGCACTGAACTGGGAGTCCTGAGGCTTGGCTCCCTATGTCACCAACCAGCCTGGCCTCCCCAAGAAACCCCTGGGAAGGCCTCCTGGGATGGTCTCAAGACTCTGATGCTATTTATCTGCCTGGTTTGGGCTCCACATGGCTGGCCATCCATTGGGTCAGCTGCTTCATTTCACAGAGCTGCAATTCCTGTTTCCCGGGTTTCACCCACTGGCTTAGTACAGTGGAATCTGGGGAAAAAGCCACACTCCAAATAGTCAATTTTATGCTATAGATTTTGAGTTCCATGAAGGGAAGACTCCTCACGATATGAACTGCCCCATCAGGAACAGGGCTCCATTGGACAGGAGTGAGCTCTCTGTCGCTGAGGTAAGGGAGAGGCTGGATGTCTTCCCGGTGAGGATGCCTAAGGAGATGTCTGGGCTGAGAGAAGGACAGCATCTGGACCAGGCCTTCTCTCCTGGACCTGAGGTTCTAGGGTTCCAGGGTCCTCAAGCCCCTCCCACCATCTCTCTTTGGGGCCTGAATCAGAGCTACACCCTCCCCAGGCCCCCTGGGCATGCCTGGCCCTCAGGCCAGCGGCTCAGTCACTGTTCCCTGGTTCTCTGCTCTGAAGAGACTGCAATGGTGGACAACAAGCACCTGGCTCAGGGCCAGGGCCATGGGGCAGGGGGTAGGCCTGGGGTAGAGGCAACTGCATTTGTATGAAGGAGGGGGGCCCAGGCTGGCAGCTGCCTTGCAGACTCCCCAGCACAGAAGACAATTCCTACCAAGGCTCCATCTCCCATCGGGGTCCTCGGAGGCTTGGCTCCCGCTTCGGTGCCCCCCTGGGCTGGGAGCCTGGCCACGGCCATCTGCAGCTGAAAAAGCAAATCCTTGCACTTAATATTTAATTCTGACTGGCAAAGTGTGCAGCCTAAGTGAAGTGGTCTGGAGCCACTGGGTGTGCGGTTACCAGTCTTGGTGGTTTGTCCTTGCAGCCACTTTAGGACTGTTAGTGGATGAATTCTCCCTTCCCCACTGCTCTGCAATGGGAGAGGGTTTAACTGATCGCCTGCCCCACTCCACAGTCGCAGGGTAAGAGAAGCTCCAGGATTCACTAAGAGCTCACACTGGTGCCCCAGAGAATGCTTAATAAATGATAACACTGTGGCCACAGTCTGTCTCCTGGAGTTGTAAAAACAGCCCAGGAGAGTAAAGGAATTATGGACGTCATATCACAGATCAGCAGGCAGGGTCAGAGACACGGAGAAACTTGCCACACAGGCTCATGGCCTGGTGGCTGAGACTGCGGTGTACAGCCCACCCTTTAATCATCTGCTGATTGTTCACACAAAGCCTCGGCACAGTCCCGCCCTCCCAGCTCTCTGACCGCCTACTTGCTCCGCTCTCCGCCACACTGGTCTCCTTTCAGACCCTCTTCCTCACTCCACGCTGGGCCCTCTGCATGGAGGGCCCTCTCCACCCTCCAGGGACCCACTGTGCCCTCTTCTGAGGGGTGCTTCCTTAACGCACCCACTGCTCTCCTTTTCCTCGGCCAAGGTTTATAACTATATTACAAATTGGTGCTGGCCTACACCCAGGAGGGGAACAAGTATCTATTTTGCTAAGATATCTATTTTGCTCCCCATGGTATCCGCAGGGCCTGAGACGGTGCTGAAAACATCTGTTACAGAATAGAGCAGCTCTAATTTAATGCCAAGTATAATGACAAGGTGGGCTGCAATCCAGTGCCACCACTCACTGGCTGTGTGACTTGAGAAAGCCTCTGAGCCTCTCCCAGCCTCTGCTCCTCAGTAGTATGAGGAGATGTGCCCTCCAGCACAAGGATTCCATTCTAATTCCTAAGGGCCATGGACCACTTGGCTGTGCCCTTGCCTGGAGGGCTTTGTGATCAGCTTGGGAGCGCTGGTGGTCCCAAAAAGCAGAAGACGGACAACAGTGAGATCCTGACTGGGGGGGATGCTCCTGCCTCTAGATTAAAGTTAGCAAGGATCCCTGTTCATTCATTTACAGTAACTTTGCTTATATTAGCAAGGGCCCCTCTTAATTTATTGAGCAAATGTTCATCCAGTGCTTACTATGGGCCAGGCACTGTTCTAAGCATTTTACAATGTCAAGTCATTTAATCTTCATAAACCCTTGAGGTGAGCACTACTAACACTGTCATGTGACAGAGGAGGAAACTGAGGCGCAGAGAGTTTATAATTTGCTCAGAGTCACAAAGCAAGTCAGTGGTGGAGCTGAGATTCACATCCAGGTAGTCAGGCTATAGGTTTGTGCCCTTAACCAGGCTGCCTCTCAGTGACCCGTGTCCCCCTTGCTTCCTGACACACTTTCCTTTCTCAGAATGTGACAAAGGCTGAGGAACTCATTGCAAACACTGGCCCACAGCCCTTCAGAAGCACCCAAGGCATCTACATGTGGCTGTCTCTCTGGAGGAGGGGCCCAGGCCCCAGGAGTCCCCTTCAGAGGCAGGAATGGACAAGGCCCCTCACGTCCCGCTCCAGCTCCTGGACTCGATTGTTCAGCTGCTTCACTCTGGTTTTCGCACCCTCCGACTCCGCCATCAGCACCCGGTTCTTTTTGGACAGCTCGACGATTTTGGTGGCAACCACATCCCCGGCCACACCAGCTGTCCCTAAAAAGAAGGAAATGGTGAGGCCAAATAAACACACAAGCCGGCACATCAAACTCATGCCACATCACCAACAGCACTGGGGTTTTAGAAATTAAAGCTGTTTGGTGTGAATGCTCTCGAAGGGGCGGAGGCTCACGCGAGTCACTACATGCCTAGGGGCCCTGAGACCCAACTCCAGTGAACAGAAATCCAGGATGTTCTAAGAAAATGTAAAGGCAGAAAGTAGCATTTTAATTCTGTGGAAGATAGGTTTATTGCTCCAATTCTTCAGGTCATCCCCAGTGATAGGATGATACATCTGCCCCCTATGCCCTGGAACTTTGCCATGCCCTCTGGTGAGCAGGGTGCTGTCCCCTTGACCCCTCAATGCCTGCCTGACTTGGGACTCAGCTTGAGCTTTGGTCAATGGGATGTTAGCAGATATGATGAAAGTAGAAGCTTGAAAAACATTTGTGCAGTTAAACTTGCCATTTTTGCTTATGCCATCTCCACAAGAACACGTTCAGGCCAGGTGGTCCTAGGAAGAGGATGAGAGACACACGGAACAAAGCTAAACCAGCCCAGCCAAGTTTGACCTAGATCAGCCAATCCCCTGCCAACCCCCATGTTTGAGCTAAATAAACACTTATTGCTGAACGCTGCTGAGATTATGCGGTTGTTAGCTATGCAGAATTTTGTGGTAACACCTAACCAATGTGAATGCTTACATTCAATTAGTAAATATTTATTGAGATTCTATCAAGTGCTGGACATTTTAGGTGTCAGGAATTCAGTGGTGAATAAAAAGGACTCATGGAGTTTACATTCTCCATGAGAGACCAGGAATTGACATTCTCCTATTCTAACAGGGGAGATACACAACACAAACAAACAAATATATATTGTAATATCTGGGAGGGGTAAGTGCTATGAAATAAACTGAAGCTGGGCAAGGGGATGGAGAGTGATGGAGTGATGCTATTTTATATGGAGTATTCAGGAAAGGCCTCTCTGAGGAGGTAATGTGCGAACAGAGACCTAAATAAATGAAGTGAAGGATTAAACCATGAAGAAGATTGTTTTCAACTGGGAAGAGTGTTCTAAGCAGAGGAAACAGCAAGTGCAAAGGTCCTCAGGTGGAAATGTGCAGTGTGTCTAAGCGATCTCAAGGAGGCCAGGGTAGCTGGAACACAGTAGGTAAGTGAAGGAGGTTGTAAAAGAAGTGGTTGGAGGGAAATAAATAAGGAAAGTCGTACTGGCTGTACAGAAGGCAGGCAGTCGGAGCTAGTCCACCTTGGCCAATGACTTGCTCGGTAGCTGTCTTAGTTATTTAATGCTGCTATAACAGAAATACCACAAGTGGATGGCTTTAACAAAAAGAAACTTATTCTCTCACAGTCTAGGAGGCTAGAAGTCTGAATTCAGGGTGCCAACTCCAGGCGAAGGCTTTCTCTCTCTGTTGGTTCTGGAGGAAGGTCCTTGTCATTAATCTTCCCTTGGTCTAGGAAACGCTCTGCTTCCAGTGCTGCTTTTTTGGCGGTATGAGGTCCCCGTGTCTCTCTTCTGGCTTCTCTCTTTTATATCTCAAAAGAGTTTGGCTTAAGACACAACCTAATCTTGCAGATTGAGTTCTACCTCATTAACATAACTGCCACTAATCCTGCCTCTAACATCTTAAAGGTAGGATTTACATCACGTAGGAAAATCACATCAGACGACAAAATGGTAGGCAATCACACAATACTGGGAATCATGGCCTAGCCAAGTTGACACTTATTTTGGGGGGACACAATTCAATCCCTAACAGTAGCCTTGGCAGTCCCTTGCCTTCTCTGCAGTACAGTTTCCCCATCTGCACAATGACAGATCTGGTCATACGCTCTGCAAGTTTTCTGAATGCTGACACTGCAGCAGTGGGTAACTGTCAGGGACACCTTCTCAGGCTTACTTTTCTTTCTTTTTTAAAATTTTATTGTGCTTTAGGTGAAAGTTTACAGCGCAAATTAGCTTCTCTCTCAAAAATTTATACACAAATTATTTTGTGACATTGGTTGCAATCCCCGCATTGTGTCAGCATTCTCCCCCTTTCCGTTTACATGCTGGGTTCCCCGTGTCCATTTGTCCAGTTTTCCTGTCCCTTCCTGCCTTCTCATCTTTGCTATTGGGCAGGTATTGCCCATTTGGTCTTGTATGCTTGGTTGAACTAAGAAGCACATTCCTCACGTGTATTACTGTTTGTTTTATAGGCCTGTCTAATCTTCGGCTGAAAGGTGGACTTCTGGAGTGGCTTTAGTTCTGAGTTAGAAGGGTGTTTGGGGGCCACAGTCTCCAGGGTTACTCCAGTCTCTGTCGGACCAGTAAGTCAGGGTTTTTTGTTTTTTTTTTTTCTTTTTTGTGAACTTGAATTTTGTTCTACATTTTTCTCCTGCTCTGTCTGGGACCCTCCACTGTGATCCCTATCAGAGCAGTCAGTAGTGGTAGCCAGGCACCATCTAGTTCTGGGCTCAGGCCAGTGGAGGCTGTGGTTCATGTGGTCCGTTAGTCCTTTGGACTAATATTTTCCTTGTGTCTTTGGTTTCCTTCATTCTCCTTGCTCCAGATGGGATGGGACTAATAAATGTATCTTAGATGCCCACTTGCAAGCTTTTAAGACCCCAGACGCTATTCCCCAAAGTAGGATGCAGAACATTTTCCTTATGAACTATGTTATGTCAATTGACCTAGATGTCCCCTGAGACCATCTCCAGCCCTCAACCCTAATAACTTGGTCCCTCAAGGCATTTGGATGTGTCCAGGAAGCTTCTATGATTTTGCCTTGGTCAAGTTGTGCTGACTTTCCTTGTATTGTGTGTTGTCCTTCCCTTCACCAAAGTTAACACTTGTCTACTACCTAGTTAGTGATTTCCCCTCCCCACCCCTCCACTCCCTTGTAACTATCAAAGATTGTTTTTTTTTTTTCTGTTTGTAAACCTTTCCTTGGGTTTTTATGATACTGGTCTCATATAATATTTGTCCTTTTGGATTGACTTATTTCACTCAGCATAATGCCCTCCAGATTCATTCATGTTGTGAGATGTTTCGTGCATTCATCATTATTCTTTATAGTTGTATTCCATTGTGTGTATGTACCATAATTTGTTTATTCATTCTTCTGTCGATGGGTACTTAGGTTATTTCCATCTTTTTGCTATTGTGAATAACGTTGCAATTAACATGGTGTGCATATGTCTATTCATGTGATGGCTCTTATTTCCCTAGGATATATTCCTAGGAGTGGAGTTGCTGGATCATATGGTATTTCTATTTCTAGATTTTTAAGAAGGCGCCATATCATTTTCCACAGTGGATGTACTATTTTACATTCCCACCAGCAGTGCATAAGAGTTCCAATCTCCCGCAACCTTTCCAACATGTTATTTTCTATTTTTTTAATGTTGTTGTTAGGTGCCGTGGAGTCGGGTCTGACTCAGAGCAACCCTATTAGTGCCAGTAATGTCGGGGTGAGATGGTATCTCATTGTAGTTTTGATTTGCATTTCTCTAATAGCTAACTATCCTATTTCCTGATGTGTCTGTTAGCCACCTGAATGTCTTCTTTGGTGAAGTGTCTGTTCATATCGTTTGCCTATGTTTTAATTGGGTTATTCATCTTTTTGTTCTTGAGATGTTGAAGTATCCAACAGATTTTAGAGATTAGACCCTTGTCAGATATGTCATTGCCCAATTTTTTTTCCCAGTCTGTAGGTTCTCTTTTTCAGACTTACTTTTCAACATGACATTGATGCATCTCAGAACAAGACTAAGGGTGACAACTGGTGGAGGGCAAAACAAAGGCACTGACAGTTTTCAAATCCACTTAGCCCAGACTGGCTGCTGCTAGGCAGCGAGTTGAGTGACAAGGAATGGCTGCCCTTGGCAACCTCATGCCTGCTGAAGAGGATAAGAATACATTAAGAGAAGGGGCTCAGAATGGTCTAGAGTCCTGAGGTATCTAGAAGGAGGTGGGTATCATTTAGCATAGACTTGGCACATCTGGCTGCCTTTCTCCTTTAATAGGTGATATGGGGAAAAAATAGATATTATAAAATCACTGGGAAAATCATATACTCTAGCAGTTAAGGAAATGCAAATTCAGCAGAGGTTCTGGTTCTGGTCAACAAGAATAAACAGAGAAGAGCCCAATCAGGGCCAAGGTCCCACCAGACACCACAGGTCTAGCCCATAACCTGAGAGCCAACATCTAGTGCATACTGCAGGGCCAAGGCCATCCCAGGTCCACAAAGCTAAAGTCTCCACCACAAGAATCAAGGTCCAGCCCAGACCTACAGGGTCAAGGTCCAGCCTAGACCCTGCTAAGGGTGGTTGGGTCCTAGGAAGTCCTCCTGGAACAGCCAACCTCCCTGCCTTGTCCACCTCTCTGGAGCAGGAACAGCAGATGCCGTAGAGTAAATGCCCACTTCCACTGGGGCTTTACCCGCATGACACAGTGCCTGAGCCAAGCACCAAGATGAAATGGATCCTGCCGGCTCACCCAACATGCTGCAAGCATCTCAGAGAACCTTGAGCTGTGACATCTCAGAGAATGCTTGCTGGGTCCGCAGCACCTCCTAGATGCTTGCCTGCTGCCCCGCTGTTCCTTACGTTCCCATTCCCTGGTGTGCTGGCCTCCCTGGGTCTGCTCTCTTCTTCTACCCCTCCCTTGTTCTCAAGACCCATCTGGACAAGCTTGATCACAACTGACCCTTGGCACTCTCTCTCTCGGGCACCTGCCCTCTGGGCCAGCCACCTGGACTCCTGGGCAGGGGAATGAGTCAGACGGTCACAACTACCTGTAAAGGCAAATCTGTCCTCTTCTATTTTCTTTTTGAGGTGTCTGATTTCAAAATCTCGTTCCTTCAGCAGCTTATGCAATCTTCCGTTCTCATCCACTGTTTCTCTAAGCTGCTCTCGAAGCTGCTCAATCTCGTCTTCAAGCACCCTAGAAGGCAAAGGCAGCGTTAACTGCTCCTTCACGGGGGCCCGTGGGCAGGGATCTGGCCTCCACTGCCCAGGGTTGTTGTGCCTGGATTGGACAGTAGGTGGTGATAAGAACGGGTCTGTACAAAACAGGAAGGAGAAATCAAGAAAACGTCAATGAGCAGATTTTAACACATGGTTCTCAGAACTGGGTGATTAAACGTGTACATGTGTGTATGGGTGCACACATACACACACACACACACACACACACACACACACACACACACACAAAGTGAAAGGAGAAAGAAGGTTTGAATAACATTGTCTATTAACTGAATTCAAAAGAAAAAAACCAAACCCACTGCTGTCGAGTTGATTCCGACTCTATAGGACAGAGTAGAACTGCCCCCATAGAGTTTCCAAGGACCACCTGGTGGATTTGAGCTGCTGACCTTTTGGTTAGCAGCCATAGCACTTAACCACTATGCAACCAGGGTTTCTGGATTCAACAGAGAGCTATATCAAACCCTCCACTAAGAGAATTCATACTCCTTTTAAACATCTATGGAACATGCATAAAAATGTATTACATTTTAGGCTACAAAAGCAGTCTGAGCAAATTCCAAATAATGAACATCACACGGATCGTTTTCTCTAATGGCAACTGATTAAAATTATAAATCAATACTAAAAACAAAAATAAATAAATAAATTTAAAAAACCCCTAAACCTACCATATGTTTGGAACCAAAAAAAAAAAAAAAAAAAAGCCACTTCTAAATTATTCATGGGTTAAGAAGGAAGTGTAATGTGTGTTATGAAGTATTTAGAACTGAATGACAGCAATGTATATCAAAACTTGAGGGATGTGGCTAAAGTGATACTTAGAAGGAAATCTATAGTCTTAAATGCATATATTAAAAGACCAAATAGGAATTTTCTAAGCCTTAAATTGAGGCGAGGCCTCTAGGTCATAGGCAAGCCCAATGGAAAATCAGAACAGGTGGTTGGTTTTGTGTATTACAAGTTGTCCCACAAGGCTCCTCCCAGAACTTTTAAACCATTCTATTGTTACTCACAGCATAGGCCCCCATAGAGATAGTTGCTGAAGAAGAAAATAAGTGATAGAAGTTATAGGCCCAAACCAAAATCCCGTGGCTGCCGAGTAGATCCCAACTCACAGTGATGCTGTAAGACCAGTGTAGAACTGCCCCATAGGGCTTCCAAGGAGGGGCTGGTGGATTCAGACTGCTGACCTTTCAGTTAGCAGCCAAATGCTTAACCACTGCACCACCACGGCTCCACAGGCCCAAGGTAATAGTAATTATTACTACTGCTACTATTATTATTATTCTATCAATGGCTTGAGTCTCCACCAATTCATTTCCCTGATTTGGAGAAAGATCATTTGCAAATAGCTCTTGAGTTAATTCAGAGCTAGTGGTTAGGAGCCAAAATCAATTTTTCAATTATTGAGAAATCTTTATTTTTTCACAATTCGCTTTCTTTTTTTAGTAGAACTTTTAAAAAATTGGGAAACCATATGTGGTGAAATAACTTCCTTTGTGTGCCTTTTGCCTTGGTCTTTGAAAAAACAACTTGAGAGATTTTTTCCCCCTAATCCCGAGGATTTATCTTTGTCCTAGTTTTCTATCCTAGAGGGTTTGTTACTTTTGTCCAGGTTGATGGATGATTCCTGGTTAAGCTATAAACAATTTATGGTTTGATACTTTTTGCCTGGTCCTGGGCTGCAGGCTGCCCTGTGATTGGTATGCACTTTGCAGGGATTGGTCAGTAGACTATGCAAATGAAGTGTCTATAGCCTAAGAGGGGACTGGTCAGTTCGTGGCCCTGCTGGGAAGGTCATGCCTTGAAACTGATAAGGAGTTGTGTATATAAGTAGCCAAACCCACAGATTTTTCAGCAAGAACTAGGAAGAGAAGCAGAATGAAGAGAGAAGAAAGCAGCAGAATGAATATAGAAGGAAGAAGCAGAGAGAGGAGGCAAGGAACTTCCTAAAAGAGCTGTAACATGGGTCAAAGGCTGTAACACTGAAGACAGCTATAACAGACAGCAGGGCTAAGAGGAGCCTGTCTTGAGGGGGCTGAGAGGAGGCCTGCATGGCCGAGAGGAGCTGAGATAGCTGCTCTGCAATGAAGAAGGGAGACTTTGCCTACGTGCTTCCTGATCCTGATCCAGAGTTGTACCCTGTTATTTCTTTAACACTTAACTGTACGAATGGTCTGTCAGTTCTGTGTGGCCATTGCGATGAATTATCAAACCCAGAAGAGAAGTAGAAAGTGCTGTGGGAACAGCTGGTATCAGAACTGTTAAAAAGGTTGGAGGGTGGAGGTATGTCTGACCTCTACCTCATAGGGGTCAGCCTTGGGCTGATTTTGATTCGTATTATCCCCCTTGAAGTTAGACAGGTTCTGATGCTACTACTACTACTACTACTAGTAGTCCCATTTCACACCATAAAAAGCAGAATTTAAAGATGGAGAAGGTGGAATCTGGGTGACACTAGAAGCACAGGGTCAGTTAAGAACTCTTTTGACTTTTTAGAGAATTTTGTATCAAAACAGATTTCTGCTTCCAATAACGACTATAAATCCATATGCATCGTGTGATGTCAAATTTAGAGCAAGTGGAGAAAATTCTGGACTCCCTCAAAATTTTTCACCAACTGCAAAAAAGCAAGGAATTTACCAAGAGCTTCTTTAGGACAGGATGTGTTTACGTGTTGTTATGTGTCAGGAAAGGGACACTGGCATGGGAGAACAATCCCAGATGAGATTTGGAGCAATGATCACCTAGGAGTCATCAGAGTTAGCCAACCAGCTCCTCAGAAACTCAAGCCCAGTTTTCATTAAAGAGAGGCTGCAAAAGAAATTCAAGTGAATGAGTAACACCTTAATGAGTTTCAAATTTTCAATTTGACTTTAAATCGTTTATAAATACATTTCACATCAAATTATGTCCATGGGAACACAGATCTTCCATTGGATATGAGTCTTCAATAATGAACTCTGTGTCTCAACATATAAAAGCACATCTAGTCAACCTGATTGGAAGGATGTCTGCAATCATCTCTCCCTCCCTTTCCCCACCTTGCTGCAGTGCCCCAGGCAGAGTTCTAATTTTACCTCTTCTCAAAGCTGTCTTTTGAATGTTGCTCCCCTGTGTGGAGGAGGCTGAAGCTGTCGGAGATCTCCAGGAGCTCTTCTTGGTCATTGACTTTGCTTTGGAGGCTCAGTTCTTTCTCCTTCCTTTTCTCCATCTGCTTCTGTAGCCTTTTGTGCTGCATCTCCTGTAACATCTTGAACTGGAGCCGCAAGGTGTCCTGCGAGCCTTTATCTGCTGCCATCTTGCTCTAGGAGTCAAAAAGGCAGCTTGAGCTCATGCAGACTCCATAAAGTACCCATTTCCTAAGAGTGCTCAGCACATATCCAGCCCTGTCTACAGACCCCAACCCTGCGGCTTCCTGCTTAACTTCATATGCATGTCCATGTGGAAGCTTAGAAGCCCTACCTTCACCTCCAATCCCCTGAAAGAAAAAGCTGAACTGAGCATCCTCCCCTAGCCCTGAATGTGCCACCAGACTGTAAATGGCATTGGAAAAGCCCCCTTCATTCAGACTCAACATTTAACTCTTCTCCGTTCCTTAAATCAGTGGCTCTCACCCTGGCTGAACATTAGAATCTTCTAGGAGCTCCTAAAAAATAAGAATGCCTGGGCCCATCCCCAGACCAATTAAATCTCAATTTCTAGGAATGGGGCCTAGGCATCATCGATTTGTTTTCTTTTTAAATTGAGGTATAATTTACATAAAGGACATAAATACTGAGTGTACAGCTCAATGAATTGTTAAATAGATATACACCCCTGTGGTGACCACCAGATTAAAGTATAGAGCAGTGATAGTCTCTGAGCAGGCTACCTTGTGCCCCCTCCAGTTAACTGTTCTCCAAAGTACCATTATTCTGACCTCTACCACTGAAGATAAGTTCTATTTTCTTTTTAATCACTTGTATTGAAATATAATTTACATACAATAAAATACACCAATTTTATGCATACAAATGAGTTTTGGCAAATGCAGGCACCTGTGTAAACTACTACTACCATCATGATACAGAATGTTTAACGTTTCCATCACCCTAGAAAGTTCCTTTTTGTCCCTTTACAGTCAATTTTCCTGCCAACAAAATCCCAGGAAACCACTGATCTACTTTCAGTCACTATAGTTTGACTTTTTTAGAATTTCATGTAACTGGAGACTACAGTATAGAGTCTTCTGTGTCTGGTTTATTATGTCAGCACTACCTTTTGAGATTAGTCCATGCTACTGCATGTATTATTAGTTTCTTCTCTTTTTTTTTCTTTTAACTGTTGAGTATTTCACTGGCTGTAATGACATTCACATTGGATACCACAATTTGCTTATCCATTCACCTGTTATTGAACACCTGAGCTGTTTCCAGTTTGGGCCCTATTACGAGTAACGCTGCTATGAATATATTCATGTACAAGTAAGTCTTTGCATGAACATATATTGTTATTTCTCTTGGGTAAATCCCTAGAAGTGGAAAGGCTGGGTTATATGATAAGTTTACGCTTACCTTCATAAGAAGCAGTTAAAACTGTTTTTGAGGAGCCCTGGTGGCACAATGGTTAAGCGTTAGGCTGCTAAGCAAAAAGCTGGAAGTCTGAACCCACCCAGCAGCTCTGCGGGAGAAAGATGTGGCAATCGGTTCCCATAAAGATTACAGCCTAGGAAACCCTATGGGACAACTCTACTCTGTCACATAGGATTACCATGAGTCGGAATCGACTCAATGGTACCCAACAACAACAACAAAACTGTTTTCAGAGTAGTTGTACCATTTAACACACCCACCAGCAGTTCACGAGCATTCCAGTTGCTCTACATCCTTGCTAACACTTGGTATGGTCAGTTTAAATTTTAGGCATTCTAGTGGGTATGGAGGAGCCCTGGTGGCACAGTGGAAAAGTTGGCAGTTGAAACCCAACAGTGAGCCCATGGGAGATACATGTAGCAGTCTGCTTCCATAAAGCTTACAGCCTTGGAAATCCTATCGGGCAGTCCTACCCTGTCCTATAGGGTCCTATGTAGTCAGAATCGTCTCGACGGCAATGGGTTTGGTTTTGGTTCTGGTGGGTATGTAACAGTATCTCATTGTGGCTTTTATTTGCATTTCCTTGATGACTATGTTGACCATCTTTTCATGTGCTTATTGGTCATTTGTATATATATATGTATTTTTTTTTTTTTTTGGTGAAGTGTCTGTTCACATATTTTGCCCACTTAAAAACTGTGTTTGTCTTATTCTTATGGAATGGTCAGAGTTCTTGATACATTCTGGATGTTTTGTCTGTTTTGAACTTCACGTAAATGAAATAATAACGTACAAACTTGCGATGCTGTTCCCGCTCCCTGGAATTCTCTTTCCCCAGCTGTCTGCCTTGCTTGCTTCCTCATCTCCTTTGGATCTCTGCTCAAAGGTCACCTTATCAGAGAGGCCTTCCTGATGGTCATATGGTAGAAAGCATCCCCACACTCGCTCATCCCCCTTGCTGTGTTTTATCTTTATCCATAGCACTTATCTTCACTTGACACAATATATATTTATTTGGTTACGCAAGGCTTTGAACTAGTTCATCCTGGTTCAAACCCCTGCTGAGAATTTGCATTTCTAACAAATTCCCAGGCAATGCTAATGCTGCTGGTTTGGGACCAATTCTGAGAACCACTAGTAGACCTGCGGTTCTCAAACTTATTATACATAAGAATCACCTGGGGATCTTGTGAAACTGTAGATTCTGATTCAGTATATCTAGGGTAGAAATGCAAATTCTCAGCAGAGGTTTGAACCAGAGCGAACTGCTTGGAAGCCCTGGTTTATAGCCTCTCCATCCCTGCCAGCTCCACAACAGCAGGCACTCTGTGTTGGTCACTGCTGTATCCTCAGTGCCTATAGCAGGACCTGGTATGTAGCAGGCACAAAATGAGTATGTGGTGAACTAATGACAGATGATCTGTTCCTAGGACTGCTCAAACAGACTCCTACCGCCCTCACTGCCCCCCACCCCCTCTCATCACCCCACTTACAGTCTAGCCAGCATTAGCTGAGGCACTAATTTCTCTAAAGCACAGCTCTGAGCCTGACATACCACTGTGCTAAAAAGCTTTAGCAAATACCCATTAGCCACAAAACCAAGTCCAAAGGCATTAAAGACTTTTGGGGATTGGAACTCAGTCTCTCCTTCCAGCCTGTTCTTCCACTGTTCTCCTTTATAAATACTGAGTTCTAACTAGTTGTGTCAAGTTGCTCATCTATCCCTGTACCTTCCCATCCCCCCAGGCTTAAATCCTGCTGATCACCCCAGGCTCAGCATGAACACTATGTCCTTGCCTGATCCTCCAGAACAGAGAACACTGTCCACTGCTGAACACCCTCACTGCTCCATCTACGCCTTTCTACTGTACTTGGTTTTTAACCCTGTGTCAATATCAGAATCCCTGGAGACATGATTTAAAAATACCGATACCTCACTGACCCAGTTTAGAGGAACTTCACCTGAAAAAGGTGTCCAAAGGTTGAATAAAATCTTATTAAGCTTATTATTTGAAAATATAACTAACATATTATTTAAAAATAAGTTTAGAAGACCTAATATTATCAGGATGGTAATAGTACCCAAAGCAATCTATAGATTCAATACAATCCCTAACAAAATTCCAATGGTCTTTTTTTTTTTTTTTTTTTTCCAGAAATGGACAAACTGATCTCAAATTCATACTGAATTGCAAGAAGCCCCACATAGCCAAAACAATCTTGAAAAAGAACAAAGTTGGAGGACTCATACTTCCTGATTTCAAAACTTACTACAAAGCTACAGTAATCAAAATAGCATTCAATGTTGGTGGCACAATGGTTAGGTGCTCAGATGCTGGCATAGGATAGACATATAGACTAATCGAATCAAACTGAGAGGCCAGAAATAAATCCACATATCTATGGCCAACTGATTTTGACAAGAGTGCCAAGACTATTCAGTTGGGAAAGAACAGTCTCTTCAACAAATGGTGCTGGAACAACTGGATGTTCACATGCAAAATAATGAAGTTGGACCCCTACCTCACGTCATATAGAAAAATGAACTCAGATGGATCAATGATCTAAATATAAGGGCTAAAACCACAACACTCTTAGAAGAAAACATAGGGTAAATCATCATGACCTTGGATTTGACGATGGATTCTTAGATATGAAACCAAAAGCATGAACAACAACAAAAAAAATAGGTAAATTGAACTTCATCAAAATTTAAAACTTTTGTGCATCAAAGGACATTATTAAAAAAGTGAAAAGACAACCTACCAAATGGGACAAAGTATTTGCAAATAATTTATCTGTAAGAGTTGTTATAAAGTTGTGTCCCCCAAGAAGATATGTTGAAGTCCTAACCCCTATACCTGTGCATGAGATCTTATTTGGGGAAACAGGATTTTTCTTTGCAAATATTATCAGTTAAGTCATACCAGAGTAGACCCATTGCCATCTAACCAATTCTGACTCATAGCGACCCTGCAGAGCAGAGTAGAACTGCCCCCATAGGACTTCCAAGGCTGTAATCTTACAGAAGCAGACTGCCACATCTTTCTCCTGTGGACTGACGGGCGGGTTTGAACTGCCAACCTTTTGGTTAGCAGCCACGTGCTTTAACCACTGTGCCACCAGGCCTCTTTTTCCAGAGTAGAGTGGGTCCTAATTCTTTCTGAGTGGCATATTATAAAAGGAAAGATCAGACACAAGAGAGATATACAGGGAACACACCATATAAACATCCATCTACAAGCCAAGGAACACCAAGGAACACCTGGGGATACTAGAAGCTGAAAGAGACCAGGAAGGATCTTCCCCTAGAGCAGACAGATAAAGCATAGCCCTGCCAAAGCCCTGAATTTGGACTTCTAGCCTCCAGAACTGTGAGAAAACAAAATTTTTTTCTTTAAAGCCACCTACTTTGTAGTATTTTGTTACGGCAGCCCTAGGAAACTAAGACAAGGGTATATTATCCAGAATATATTAAAAAACTCTTACAATTCAACAACAAAAAGACAAACAACCAATTAAAAAATGGGCAAAGGACTTGAATAGACGTTTCCTCAAAGAAGATATACAAATGGCCTACAAGCACGTGAACTTAAAGTCACAATGAGATACTTCTTCACACCCAGTGGGATGGCTATTATCAGGAAAACAGAACATAACAAGTGTTGGTGAGGATGTAGAGAAATTGGAACCCTTGTCCATTGCTGGTAGGAATGTAAAATGGTTT